ACTAAGGTAGACTCTCTAGCATACGCGGACGACTTAATAGTCTTAGCAAACACCCCACAAGAACTCCAGAGGAAGTTAGACGGCTTAGATAAAGCACTCCAGGAGGCGGGTATGCGTATAAACGCGGAGAAATCAGGATCGCTAACCCTGGCAATCGACGGTAAGAGGAAGACAACAGTAACATTACAATCTAACTACGCGGTGGGACCAGACACGATCAAGGCCATGAAGCCAGGAGACTGCTTCAAATACCTAGGCTTAGATTTCAACCAGGGTGGGATAGCTAGGAGAAACTTAATAGACACTCTAGGGGCAATGCTTAGGGAGGTAGATGACGCTCCCCTGAAACCACATCAGAGGCTGCGTATTCTACAGATTTACCTGATCCCGCGACTCCAATACGCCATCCTGGCTCACCCCATGGGTGAAACCATCATGCGGGCTATGGATCGCATGATCCGTATCCACCTGAAGAAGTGGCTCCACTTAACACATGACACCCCAAATGCCTACTTCTACACAGCAATTCAAGACGGCGGGCTAGGCATAGAATGCTTACACACAGCAGTCCCAGTTAGGCGAGTAGCCCGCCTTAGGACTCTACAATCCTCCACGTGCCCAGCAGTGAAAGCAGCCTTGGAAAAGGCGGCGATACAACCAACAATCAGGCGTATGTCTAGGGGAGCCAAGATAGGGGGAAGAAGATACTACAATAAGGTAGATGTAAGGAAAGCGTGGAGGGAGGAATGGATAGGGAGACTGGATGGCATAGGTATGAAAGACGCACAGAGGACGCGGGCATCACATAGATGGCTTCGGAAGACAGACACAGTCTTCCCGAGAATCTTTATAAGGGGAATACAACTTAGAGGAAACCTACTAGGCACTAAGGTAAGGGCGTCTAGAGGACGCAAACTACAGGGAGGGGGAGATGACTTAAGATGTAAATGTGGTAGTGGACACAAAGAAAGCCTATCACACATCCTGCAAAGATGCAGAATAACACATGGACCTCGGATTGCCCGGCACGATAGGATAGCGTCTAGCTTAGCAGAGGCCGTCAGCCAAAAGGGCTATAAAGTCCTTCAGGAACCCCAGGTGAAATCTTTCGGCTCGTACTTTAAGCCAGACATCGTAGCAATTAAAGGAGGCACGGCCTACGTCATCGATGTTAAGGTGACTGTAGACAATACCCTACGGCAATCCTGGTTAGGAAACCAAGGTTAGGAAATACGACGACATAGATAGGAATAGACACCTCAAAAACCACCTAAAGAGCATAGGTATCTCAGTAAATAGGTTCATCCACTATCCATTCATAATAAGCATGAAGGGACTTCTGTACGAGGGAAGCGAACGCGCGATGCTGCGACTGGGAATATCAAAATGGACACTCTCTGATCTATGCCTGCTGACAATCGTCGGGTCTCTGAAGTGCTACGACGCTTTCTACTTGGACAATGGACGGGGGTAAGTCAGAAACTTAATATTACTTGCATGTTGTGCTTTCTTCCTATTTATTTCCAGATGGACGGCCATCCCCCTGTAAGGTAGGTTTCACACTATATTTTTCCTATGTTTGTCCCCGAGGTAAGAAAGCTGGGGTTGCAGAGCGCGGTAAGGAAGCACTAAGAGACCACCTGGTATCATCACGGAGTCAATATTCTCTCCAAAAGGATCCATGTCATCACAAAATCTTACCACGCTCGAAAACCCCAGCACTCGGGTATCGCGGTCTAACTTTCCCTTCCGAATTTTTACAGAGGATCAGGGGTGATGGTAGCAAGTGACAAGTCCCTAGCGCGGCGTCGCTGGCAGCCGTCTTCAAACAGCCTCTCGATGAAGCTCTGGCCATCTCAACCTGGACGAGCGTAAGGAGTCTTCAGATAATGATTGATTCCGAAACTCGCACAATTGCGTTGCTAACACCACGCACGCACCAAGGGGCTGAAATGCCCCGGGTACCGTCGTCCGTGGAAGTGGACAACGATGGTTGAGATGGTGCACAGCTGAGTGGGGTGCGTTTTGAGAAACGGTTGGTCTAAGTGGGGGCAACCCAGGTCGGGCACTCGATGCCGTCCCCAGTTAGGCGGTACAAAGTAGATAGGGACTTTGGGGTCGTCTCCGTTATTAGGAGGGGCAGGACCTGGCTGTCACACCGTTTTCATGCTGGCGCGCTGATTTAGAATCCGATCCAGAACACCGGGTCGGTGACGATGGTTGACCTGCGAAAGCAGGAAAGATCGTGAAACACGACTTAACATAGAGCAATAGCTACTACCGATTCCAATTTTGTGCCACCCGACGTTTATATATATGAACTGTTCACAGGTGCATACGCATTACTACAGCTAGGCGTAGCATACACATATATACATGCACTAGTCAACATATATGCATACTCATGTACGTATATTATAATAATAATAATAATAATAATAATAATAATAATAATAATCACTATGTGACAATAGTTATCTACCCATCTACCCGTACAAGTATGCACATTCTACCTATACAGTTACCGTTGTCTAGATTAATATAAACACTTGAATGAATTTATCCTTGTTACTGTTGTTATGATCAGCTCGATTTTTGTCCATTAATGTACATCCCTGAACTCTAATCCTACATATCTTATCAACCAAATTAATTCAAATGCCTATGATACCACTAATATTTCATTATGTGAAGAATGTAAATCCTGATGAGAATTTACCGAAAATACATATTTGTTCCGTAAGTGACATAATAGGAGTGGCTAAATTTTATATGATTATTGTGTGATCTAAGGTGCACTGGGTAAAGGGGTCAACAGCTGTCCCATATTAATTGTTTTTATATGTATGTTGTGACATCAGTCTGTGATGCGATGGTGTTTTGTCGGTGTAGTCAGTTCTGCATAATCCGTCAAGCTGCATACGATTGCGCAGTCACACACATATTTATTAAAAATAAAGACTAGTCTTTTTATTTCTCGGGAGTTGTATGTGTTCCCCCGAGGTCCAGTAAATTCATGTTTTGGAGAATGATCGTAAACCAAAGGGGCTTACTTTCGCAAATGCTGCATATATTGCTTGAATGAAGCAAAGTAAACGGATAAGGGGAAAAAGGCACTCTTGGAGAGAAGAAGAAAATTGACTTCAATTTTGGCCACTGTAGGATCAGCGTCTGAATGTGTTCTTGTTGAAGACAAGGTTCCGGTTTAGTCGATCTTATTGGAACACAGCTTCAGCTATATGTAGAAGACGCAGGCAAACTGTAGGTGATAGTAACTTCGGAATGTTGCATGTAATCGTGAAGGTTGTGTTTGCGTCAGTGTGATATCCAGTATCGACCAAGTGTGATAGAATTGAACCTATTTTTGCATTTGATTTCCTCCTTTCTGAAGCAAGCTGGTAAATGTTTTCGAACCCCTAGACGAACCTGCTCAATCGTAAACCCTATATAACTTGAACCACTGGAACAGATACAGCTCTATATGCATGAGAAAGAGCTAAGTTCAGGAGAAACCTCCTTCAATTTCTTGGTGAATAATGGACGGCAATTGAAGAATAGGAACAGATGTGCAGAGTAGAAAGTTTTCTTTATCTCCCTGGTTAAACGTGGCGACAGAATCTCCGTGGGAGTATCTTCCCTGAATTATAGACGTAAAAATAAAGACTTTTTCTTCACGATTGTCAGTTCATGTTTACGACTATTGTAACTTATTTTGGCTTTATCAACTTCTGGATATCTGTCCCTGCTTAGAATATCCTAGAAGTTCTAGAGTTCTTTCTGTGCACAATCTTTCACCTTGCTGTAAATGCTAAGGAAGTGTGTATATTGAACTTTGGTTTCTAACTTTCTAAATGTTTCTTTTGATGGAACTATCCTCTCTCCTCGCTAGTGAGACGTTCAGGTAGTGCACAGAGTCGTATTATTCTCCTTCGTAGGTGAAATGGACCTCTGATTAGGCATTTTTCCTTTGCTTATTACTACAACTGTCATTATTATTCGTCATAATGCGTAAACCTTTTATTCGAGTATTCTTTCAATGCCAACGGATTTTACATTTATACTATTTTGGTTTAATAATAATAATAATAATAATAATAATAATCACTTTATTTCACAACAGTAACAATTTACAGCATGGAATTTTCAGCGTTTCTTTTACATATTGCAATGGTTTAGCTCTGTTTATAATTATATAAATGTATAAAATGTTAAAATATTGATAGTTATTAGGAAAAAATAAAAACCCCAACAAAATCACACCATTGCTAGGTCATAGTGAATAATAATTAAATAATATAATAGTGAGTGATAATGCCTCTTTTCTCAATACATGCCTCCACCTGTTTCACTTCGCATATCAGTTGTTATTTCATGGTGAACTGTCCTCATTGTAGTCTTACTGTAACAACAGAAGACAAGGGCCAGGCAAAAGATCGTTTATTGAGGAAAATCAACACATATTTATAGATTTTAATGTACATTATTGTAGATTATTGTTAGTAGAAAATACAGTCTTTTGATTGGTTGTTTCTCACAGAAAGTTAACCTTGCATCTCTCTTTGTGGCTGTGTCAGATCATCTATATGCTAACTGTATCCGCCTACGCAAAGTCTTTGTTCTCATTTTCTCACCACCAATATTGGGGACATAACCATTGACGTCAATTACTGTCTACCAACTTTGGCTAGCAGCCAGCTCTCACCACATTAATATCTCCTCTCTGATACATACCACTTTGTAATAGCTAGTCACCGGACACCTTTGTATACCCTTGAAGTGACTTGTCAATTTCTCCTACCTCACAGATTTCAGTTGTTTACGTTGAAGTTTCCAGTTATTATTATACAGGTTTTGTCATCTGTGGAGCTAATTTACCTCAAAGAATATTACTCTAAGGTAGACTTGTCTTCTAACACATACTCCCTGTTGTTGTTTTTTCAGTTACTCTGTGACTTATTCGATGGATTATTTCTTTCTGTTTTTTTTCTTTCCTTTTGTAGTTTGAAGCTTATACACGATGTCCAGTTACACAGAAAACTATTCATGCAAATGTAACACTCTATAAGGATCAGTCAATGTCACAGGCAACCAACGTTATCCGACAAGTAAGTTTGATTTATGCATAATATGAACATGAAAATTCACATCTACTGGGATCTTTATATGCATTTTATCAGTGATTAAAGATAGTTTACAACATTGACTAAAATGTTTGTATTTCAAGTTGGTGGAGAGGTATCTAGGGGCCCATTAGCCGATGCTTAGATGCAATCGGTTCAAATCTCCACCTACACCACCGAGGTTTAGGCAGTCAGCTAGTATCATTATCCACACGCACACACACACAAAGAGTTGGTGTAGCCCACTTCCAACTGGTTGGAATTGTAAGTGGTATTTCAGTCACAGTCTACATTTCTTTACACTTTTTTTCTTAGTTGCTCGTCTGATAGCTTTAATTGTTATCTAGATAATGTTCCATCTTCATTATTTAGTGATTTCGATTTAGTTGTGTTCTCTAAGGAGCTGGTTGATTTAAATGCGAATGTTTCCTTGTCCCCCGCGCGTCTAGGCAACATCTTCAGCAGAAGTTCCCATGATTTGATATGATTGTATCTCCTGAAGATCGTTGTAGTGATGATTGGTTGTTTGTTAACATCCGTCTCTGTTGATCATTTTTGTTGAATTAGAATTTGAACTTTCTTGTCATGTGATTTCTTTTTTATTAGTTGGTAAATTTGATCTATACTAAGGAATGTGTTTGTTAATCGCTGATTCTTTTGAGTACCAGACAGGCTTCTAGAAATTCCCTGGTAGTATTTTTGGTGTTTCCCCTCCTGTTTAAAATTCCTACATTCAACCAATAATCTACATGTATCAATGAGAATGAATGTGTATGACGTTTTTCACGGCTGACGATTCATGTTTTTGGATTCTGATTCGAAGGGGACGCCTACTTTGACCAATGTAGTATTTGTCGCAGTTTATGCATGGAGTTTATTTTGTAAATGGTATTAAATGTTTGACTGTGAAGGGAGTGCCAAGAAAGTACATTGCACTAATCGAAGCACCCTACTCAAACTCACGTAGCCATGTAAGGGCTTATGGGGAATTGTCATCTGAATTAATAGCAACTAGTGGTGTCCGTCAGGGATGCCCACTTTCCCCTTTTCTGTTTAACTTCATCGTAGATATGCTAATGGAAGTATCCTTAGCTGAACTTAACGACTTAGGAATCGACTTGTTACCAGGGAATAGTCTTATGGACTTAGAATATGCAGATGACATAGTCCTGTTAGGGGAGGATGCTGACGAAACGCAGAGTCTTCTGAACACCTTGAGCAGCAATCTTCGTATGTTTGGCATGCGATTCGCCCCTGTAAAATGTAAGATGCTGCTACAGGACTGGACTACGTCTACCCCTAGCTTCGTGATAGGGAGTGAAGTGATAGAACATGTTGACCAATTCACCTATTTGGGAAGTTGTATCAGCACCAACGGATTGATTGGTGACGAAATCTCAGCATGGATCCAAAAAGCTCGGGCTGCTTTCGCTAACTTACACCATCTCTGGCTTAGACGTGACATCCGGCTATCAACCAAGGGACGTGTGTACTGCTCATCAGTTCGCTCCGTCCTTCTCTATGGCTCTGAAACATGGCCAATACGAGTTGAAGATATGAAAAGGTTGTCTGTTTTTGATCATAGGTGTCTACGATCTCTTTCTCACGTTAGGTGGCATAATAAGGTAAGTAATGTTGACCTTAGGTTAGGCGTACAGTGTTGGGCAAAGACGTAAAATCAATTGACGTGGCTATAAAGTTACACAGATTGAGATGGCTAGGTCTCATGCTGCGCACGCCTAACCATCGCCTCTCGCGAAGGGCATTATTAGCTTATATAGGTGCAGGTTGGAAAAGAGTAAGTGGTGCCATGCCAAACAAAAACATGGCCTCATCAATCCATGAAATCCTTGACAGTTAAACTGAGTCAAGTAGGGAGATGCAGACTTCCGGGTTGGGGACCTCGGGACTCTAAGAATCAATGGCTGGAGACAATAGGCGACATGGCTCAAAATCGTTGTCAATATCGCAGATGTATTCAGTCTCTGTAATCTTTCATATTCCTTTCTACCATTACTCATTCTGTTTCACTCTTATACTTATCTAAATTCTATTGATTCTCTTCTCACATTTTCCTGTCTACCTTTGTGTGCTATTTGGAACGTGGCAACTCGAACTGCTACACTTCGGTGCCAAGTTCTATTTCGAATCCAGAGAGACAGAAATGGTATTGGACTTATCTTCTTTTCCTATTGGATCTTTTGGTCTCCACAATACTGAATGAAGTGATTGTGTTGGTTGGCTTGTGTGCTGAAGTCTATTTCAAACGGTGTCAGTATTCAAGTCTTTATTTCAGAGATACTCTTTATGTGTATGGTAGAGTGAACTTGTGGTCTTTGGTGATAATTTCCTGTTGGTTGGTATTATGACTTTGGTTTCAACACTTTTTATGTAATTGTATGGGTTCGAACTCAATGCCTTACAGCTCGTAGGCCACTCAGTCTGGATATCTTGTCAGAAGTCGTGACCAGTGGGGTCCAGTCTGTTTGGTAGAAGGAAGAGTACTCGCCAGGGTTGACCTTGGTGTACCTACTTTCCTTGTAACCGGAATATCTTATGTGTGTGAATCCCAGTGGGTTGGGTGCATACTAGTGATGAGTGCCAAACTACTAAGCTGACGAAATAGCTGCACTCGAGTGTTGGTTTTTTCAATGATTCTTTAATTGAAACAAATCAATCAAGTTCTTACTAACAAACTCCCCTGACAGATGGATTTCTTGATATACACATATGGTTTGTTGTTTTTCAACCTTTTCCAGTAATTTGGTATGTTGTTAACCGTTTCGTTATATATATATATATATATATATATATATATATATATATATATATATATATGTTTCTGTGTTCAATTTGTATACCTATTCTTTCTATGTTTTTTTTCTTTTTCCGCTTCTAACAGACATTGTTACCAAACTTAAATAAAGTGCCAGACTCGGCATTTCGAATTGTCCAGTATAATAGTTCAGATGATTCACTAGGCAAGTCAGCTGAATATGTGTTGAACAGTCAACCTAGATTCCATTCATCCAATAATGTAAGTGTTACATTTATCCTTATTGCAAATACACGTTGTCACATTTACTTTCGTAATGGTTCTCTGAGTTGGACAGTATGCGTTGTGAAGCTTTCTTTACCCCCTTACTTAGGCAATACATCCTCAGTGGATACGTCGCTTTGAAGTAGTCAGAAGAAAGGTATTAGACAAAATTCACAAGAGTAAAGGAATCCAAAAGCACTTCATTTCATCTTAGTCAGGGGAATAGCTCAAAGGTACAGATCGAATACCCAATCGCAACAGCAACACACTATAACATACAAAAAGATTTGCATGCTAACATAACTTTTAAGAGAGTCATTGCAGCACTGCTACCTTGAGGAAGACATCTACCACCAATCCAACCAACCAAATCAAAGGCCTTCAATGGAAACACACAAAAAGAAATCGTCTTACCAAATATGTATGAAGAACGTCTGGGAAATCACTGTAAGACTCTTTAAATCTTTTGGAATTGACGTCTCACACAAACCAATAAAATCAATGTCAGCTAGAAGATAAACTGCACCGATTACGGAAAACATTACATTGGCCGAAGGGGACGCCCTCTTTGTCTTTGCATCCATGAATATAAACTAGCTGTCAAAAGACACGATATCCACTCGCTCATATCACTGCATACAGACAACCATGGACATCAATTCGATAGATAAAAACGTTCAAATATTAAACAGAGGAAACGCCAAGAAGTCCAAAGAATTTTTTGGAAGCCTGTTATTATTCATGTGAATTGGCAATCAACAGACACACTGACAAAGAGAAGATTTACCGATCCATAAGAAGGAAATCTCATGCACTAAAAGTTAAACTTCGGATCAAGGAAGTCAATACAAGTAGACTAAGGGGTGAGAAAAACCCACAAAAACAACCAATCACGCTTAAGGTTACCGGGGGAGATGACTGATAAACTTGTAGAGAAATTTAAAAGTATGTACTGAGGATGTTACTCAGTAAGAGAAGTTTCGCATGTAAACCATGCAGACCAGAGGACACAACTATACCAAAATCATCCATCTGAGCTACAAATCTTCTCCACTATATAGTTTTTTAATTCCTTCACGTTCCCAGTGGAACATAGGGCGGCTTCAAGCTAAAGGCTTGAAGTTTATGTAGCAGTGGTGTTTATTTTTACGGAATGGCGTTGCTAGCCTCATGTCCAACCTTTCCTCTTTACCAGTCCTATTGTTGGCTTAGCGGGTTAAGGGAGTGCGTCGGCCGGGGATCGAACCCCGAACCACCTGTTTAGTTGGCGAGCACTCTACCGCTGTGCCACCGACGCCTCACTACATAGCTGTTAGTTTTTCATTACTGTGTCACATTATTTTCGTTACTTACGGTTGTCGCGCCTTCTTTTCCTTAAGAGTGTAACTGTCATGTTGTTACAATGCGAGCATATTATCACACAACTATTGGACATGGATTAAATCATTGAGAAATACTGCATTTGTGGTACAGAATTTCTGAAGCTAGTCGACTATCTCTCAAGTTGACTATACTCCTAGTTTCGAGATATTCGGCTACGTTTGCTTATCATAAGGAAGCTAATATAAGTACTTTGCAGCAGGATTGGTCAAATCATTAGTTTCGTGGAGAGCGTGAATCAAAGTTCGGATGAGATCAAGGCCCTCCTCAATGAAGAAGTAGAGTTTCTGCCGATGTTGGGTCTGTCGAATGATCACAGGTTCCCATAGAAACGATGCATTTAGTTGTTTCTAGTGGGGGTGTTTATGATTTAGCCGAGTCCGAGAAAAAAACTATCCGATTTAAATTCGATTTGCGTTTATTCCGTCGAATTGATGATGTTGCAAAGGGAAGCACCTAACGACCACTTTTTAGTTTTATTCTTGTCAGCTCTAGAAACTGGCATTTTGAAACAGCATATACAACAAATGGAATTATACCTAAGATATTTTGATGATATTTTTATTGTCAGTGAAGACATGTTGATAAAAATTTAACTCATGCCATCCGAATCTCAATTTCCCAACAGAACATGAGGAAACTGATACCATTAAATTCCTAGGCGTTTCTCTAGTGAAAAGAATCGACGGCACGATCGAAAGATCTACATTTAGAAAGTTTTCATAGACACGGGATAATGTATACATTTCAAAAGTTTTGTTCCAATCCAGTATATAAGAAGAACTTATTCAGAACACTGTTCAATAGAGCACGCAAAATTTGTTGAACATGAAATAAAGAGACTCTGATGGATATTTCATCTAAGGATTGATATCCTGAAGTGGTAGGTTCATTAATAAATACTCCAAAAAAATAAGCCCCAGCAAAACTATGCAGAGAGTTCCAAAGAAAGCTTTGTACATATCAGCTTACTATTCAAAGAAGATGACTTGTACATGAAGTAGTGAAACAAAGACTCGATAAAGATATCAAGAGAATTTATTATGCTGCAAAACTCGTCTTCCTTAAAAACCGCCAACAAGCGGGTACTTCAACCATCTGCGAAAGATCAGTCGCTAATCCTCAAAACTTCAAAATGGATATATCAATTTGATGAGTGTGTTTGTGGGAGCAAGCAAATGCATAGATCGTACAGAAAGAAGATTGTCTACTAGCATGATGGAGCATTCACCAAAAGGTTTGAAAACAGCCGAAGTCGTTCGTGTCGCCAAAAAGTTCAGTAACAAGACTTGTCAAGGAACTTAACCCTAAGTTCCTATTGTAATGAAGACGTTTGTAACCGATAAAGACTGTGTATTTCTTTCAACTTTAAATCCCAAACACCAGTATTCCTTGAAAGAAATTATATTGTTTCGCAATTAAAGTGAAGACAACTACAAAGTCTACAAACAAATGTTAAGTACAAATGAAGTTATAAAGTACTTTTATTCGTTTTTGTTCCCGTCTTCATTCAACTTGCAAGCGATCGAACCATTCGCGCCTTCGAGTTGCCCACCAATGGCTGCCAGTTCCAATAAACAAACGTTCAATGTTCACGTCCATTGACAAGACTTCTTGTAGATTACGGACATGATATCAACGCTGTCAAGTTATTCACTCTTGTCAGCAGACAAAGAAACAGGAAGATGCTTAGAATCTCAGAGACTTGTATTATTAGAGTTTATAAACGAGGTCTCTGTGTGTACAAAAGGAAATGGTGGCCACTCTGAACCTATCATGGTAATATGTTTTACTTAGTAACTGCTATTAGGAGGAGATGAGAGATTGTGGGCAATCCTGATCTTAGCTGAGGAGAGCGGCAGAAGATAGGAAAAGTGGGGTTGTGTTGTTGAAGCCCTCCCTATGTTTCACTCGGAACTAAAGGGAATATTAATAATTAACTGTTATTACTATTATTATTAATAATATTATTATTACTTTATTCTACCTCTTATTATTACTCCTGATTCATTTGAAAACAACCCTTTATTAGTACCATGATCTTAACTCGTTTTAAAATTATTACTGTTAACATTATTCAGTTTGCAATTCTTGGTATATTTAAGTTCTTTCTCTGATGACTAATTCTCTATTTAAATGATGTAATTGAGCCGTTATACACTTTACCTTAATTTTAATCTCTCATACTCGCTTCACCTTATCTATTTGAACATGACCTGAAAAAAACATTCACGTGTGTCTCGTTTTACATGATAAATTTACCAGTATCTGATTGGTCTAAAGATTTCTTTGTTAATTATAATTACGATTGTGCAGCTCATGAAAATGAATCGTCGAAAAGAAAATTTTCTTCGCTGTTTGTGCCTTTTTCTTATGACTCAATGTAGTTAATTTGCTCATCAGTTTTGTATCTCCCAGTGTAATTCGAATTGTCTTCACATCTCTCCTTATATGTACAGTACTCACCTGAAGACCCACCCCTTTATGTTACAAGTTAAACATTGTGAATTGTTGATATTAGATAGTTGGAGGCAATTGGAAGGAAGTCCTACCTGACGCAGGTTTCGTTCTTGGTGTCCCTCAACAGTTATCAAGGTGTATCTGATATATTGAAAGGTCTCATATCACCCATGGCTGCAGTCAGAGACATTACCATTGAGCTATTCAAGCTCGCGATTAACATCCAGTTGGAGTGTATCAGATTACTTTGATTGCACACTAGTTGGCAACTAGTGTTATGAGTCTAGTCCTTTGTTTTGTTGAAGACTTAATTCCAGCAGTCAAGTTTGTATAATCACCATTTATGTATGTACATGATGTTGATTTGGTGTACACGTGTATTTGTTTTCTCTTCACACTATATAATAGGGTTTACACTCTAATGAGACGGAATCATCAATGCCTATGGATATGGTTACTGTTGGTGAATTTTCAAACAATAAAGCCTATTATCCTTTTCCTCTATGGCTTGAGCATCGTATATGCGTGCCTGGTTCAGTGAAGCACCTTTTCTCTGCTGGTAGTATATCATCTCAACCAGTTCCACAGATGTGGCGCACTTATGAACCTGGAGGTAAGCTTCCTTTATTATAATTTTTTTTATTCCTCCCCCACGTCACTCATGTGTGTTCACTTTGTTGCCTTCCATGACTACTTCTGTGTTGTAAATAAACTTTTTGAGACTTTTATCATTTATACATTGCGAAACGGTCGTGAATTGGTAGAAGTTAGAATTCATGGACTGGCCATTGGATCGGGTCCCAGTGGCTCAACGGTCTACGAGCTCGCTAGCCTTGTAACCAAAAGGTCCTGGGTTTGAACCCTGGTAGTGGGTGTGTACTGATGAAGAGTCCCAAACTGGGACGGAGGAAACAGCTATCCAGTACTCCAGCTGGTTTTCCAATGGTTCTCTAATTGATGTCAGCTCATGATGAAATCCTCCATCCAATTAAACAAAATCCCTACGAAACCAATACTTGAAAAACAGAAGAAACATACTGAGCAAAATAAAATATCCACTCCTTTTCAGTTAGTTCGTAATCATCGGCTGGCTGTACACCAATTCATGTAGTTTCTTGCATCAAGCTTGTCCCAAACATGTGGTTATTTTAGTTAATCAGTTTTAGGTGAAGAGGGTGAAATTAAGAGGTTAAAGGTCATCAAAATAACTAAGGAATTTAAGATGAGTTAATTCTTAGGCATTAGCAACAAGTTATTACGTAATCAGAAAATTTGTAAAAGTAGCAATGATGACTAAGAAGAATTGGATGACTCAGAAGAGTTGCGTAAGATACAAGCAAGTTAATCGAATTAACTAGAATTGTAATCACATAATAAAATAAAGTCAAAAAATAGTTACAAGGGGGGGGGGGGGAGGAAAGTCGTTTGTAAAATTTAATACATGTTATGTAGTTGACTGTGACAAAGAAAGCGGTTGCACAGATTTCTTCTGAACACACACGGATTTGACTTGTTCAGATGTATATTCCGATTGCCTCTACTGTATGTAAAAGCTGTTGTACTCACGTAGAATGCGAAAGGTTGGGTGAAATACGATAAATAACTTCAAAAGCTTTGCTAGAATGTCGACTTGATGTCCAGTATCGACGAGATGAGCAAGTATAGCTTTATTCTAGCCTTTGCTAAACCAAGATGGTAGGTGTTCAGAGATTCGAAGATCGTACACCCAGTGTTACTACTTCCGGACGAGCATTTAAACTGGGAAATACATATGGAAGAGGCGAAACAGAGCAGTTTATCTTGGCTGCATTAAAAGTCCTTTTTCAAGACCCTTCTCACTATTAACGTCTCGCGTGAATCGCAGTCTTAACAACACTGATTTTTTTCAGGAACTATAGGCATCTTTAGCTGTTTACTTGCTGAGTTCATGGGTTTTTATTCAGAAATTTTGTCGGATATGCGTTTGTACTTAGTAGATGATCACGAATATTGCCGAGTTCTTCGTTCAATGTTTCATTTGAACAAATGACTAGTCTAGCTCGGTAAACCAAGCATGCAACCAAATTACGTTTGTATTGTAGAGGGGTGAAACTCAGAATGTGAGTATATTGCCCAATTGATGTAGGTTTCCGATGCAATCATCTATAGCATATTGTTCTGTGTGTTCGTCTAGCCATTAAGACATTTAGAAAGGCGATGGAGTCATTCTATTCTGTGGTAAAATTTAAGGCAGGATGTGCTCCATTGAATTTCTACCATGTGTTGTGTCGCTTTCTTTCTTCAAAACTATAAATGTATCATTGACATGTTGGCAATAGAAATCCAGATTGTGCATTACATCTTTCATACGTAATTCATCCAAGTTTAATAGGTCAACAAAATATTATGTAATAATGTGTCAACAAATTTTTTTCCCTTCAACTGACGCCTGATTTTTTATCATCTTACCTCCAACAGAAGAAAGTTAACAGTTTGCAATTAAAAGTGTTCTCTGAGCTGGTTGGTTTAGTTGCGAAGCTTTCGTCGTCCTTCTGGACAACATCCCCCTTCAGCGCAATACTTAGCATGAAGTGAAATTATTTAAATTCCTTCATGAGTGATATTATTGCGTCTCCTGGTTACTATCTTTACATATGTATTGACCATTTTTCAAGTCAATAGAAAATGGTCAACACATATGTAAAGATAGTAACCAGGAGACGCAATAATATCACTCATGAAGAAATTTAAATCATTTCACTTTGTGCTAAATATGGTGCTGAAGATGTTGTCCAGAAGGACGACGAGAGCTTCGCAACTAAACTAACCAGCTCAGAGAACACTTTTAATTGCAAATCATCCACCTGAGCTACAAATCTTCTCTATTATTTCAAAGTTAACAATTCATTACAAAGTTAAAGTCAACAGTTGCAAGCTACAGAATATAGTTCAACTTAGATTGGAGGCCAGCGATTTCGAGCGAACTGGAAAAATCACTAATGAAGTAGGCTTATTAAGAAAGCGGGTTATAAATCTACAATGGTAAATTATGAAACAATCTCCGGGGAAAATGCATCTTTAATAACTTCTCAAAAGAGGTGGATTGATATTTGGATAAAATATCCTCAATGGGGTGTAAACCACTTCCTTGTAGCTGTAAACGTGACGACAAATGGCAATGCAGGAGGGTTTGAAGTTACAGTATCAGAAGTGTGGTAGTGAATTACTCACCAGACTAACCCTACTACCAACTAGTGTGTGAAGATCCGTAGCAGTTTTATCGGACTGGGGTCTAGATTGTCTGCATTTCCGGTTTATAAAAAAAAGCAGCATATCTTTCGGTTGTAATTATCATGGAGGATCGATCAGCTTGACTAACATGGTATCCGTAACTCCAGTTCCCATAGTCTTCTACAAATGTAGGAATTGGGAAGAATAAATCTAGGAAAAGAGTACTCAGGTCTAGGGTAAACGTGCAGCAAACAAATCCTCACTCTCTCTGATAGTTTTCGGAAAACAGGCAATACAACCATTGAACACTTGACTATATGTCGGTATTTAATTCTGTCGATCCAGTTGTGCGCTGTATCAAGGTTCAGTTGTGAAGCGAGGGTCGAAACAGTCGGTTCTACTTATCAGAGTTATCTACTTAATGTCGTACTACTCTGTTTACGAACATAAGTAAGTAGGTAGGTATCATCTGCACTGTCTGCAACATACCTTGTCCTTTAATAATCACCATATTTTCCATATGAACACATAAACTAGTGTGACTATAGCCGATTCTGAGTTCCCAAAGATTAACCTGTTACCCACTGTCAATAAAATCCTTTTAAATGAAGATGTTGTAAAATGCAATCTTCCGAATATCCCGAGGAAAAACTCCACAAATAATAAGGGCTCGTCCAGCATATACTACTTGGAGTCATTTGGGGTGCAGGTATATAATAATATTTGTGTCTACCGAAGGATGCTTAAAGCATTTCGCGACATTATCCTTTACGGCAGTTCTATATGGGCAGTTAGAGGCGTAGATTGTTAAATAATGAGTTAGGGAGAAGCATCGCTTAAGATGGCTGGAATATGTTACACATGTCAAGCAAGCCACCACCTTCCTCTACAGGGAATGTTAGCTGACATTTTAATTAAATCGGAACATAGCACCAATCGATGAATTCTCCACTGTAGATGGTTTGCCTAAATCCTTACTGCCTTCTTTCCTGTCATTATTCTTTGCTTGCAGTTGTGTTACACTGTCATTCTTTAATTTTATGCCTATGTCTGCAATGTGTGACAATAACTGTAGTATACTGTGCACACTTGTGCACACAAACAGCCTCGCGTTTTGCGAAACGATATGTCAATAATATTTTTTTCATTCAATCAGTTTTGTTTTCAATTTTAGTAAACTTCGCATTATCCACATGTTTTATATATGTCTTGAGCGTTTACGCCAGTAATTTGTTCGATTTCTTCACAAAAAAGATGTCGACTAAGTTGACACGCTGGCTACCGGGTTTCGAAACCAGGACCTTACGGCTACAAGGAAAGCTCGTTGGCCATTCAACCAATGGGAGCCGACTCAATGACTAGCTCATGAGTTCTAACTTCTACCAATTCGTGATATTAGCGCGACTGTCGTCGGCGGGTATTTGTCCGATGAAACCCAAACTAGGCTGACGAAACAGACGTCCAGTAGTCTAGTGCTGGTTTTCAATGCTTCTCTAACTGATATCAATCCGTGGTAAAATCTGAACTGAAACATATCAAATTCATACAAAAAAACTTGAAAATGAATCTGATGCTCGCGAGTGACTGGCTGCAAGGACAAAGGTGACTGGAGTTCTAGGGAGAAGTCGTCACCAATGGGGTCCATCCAGTCGGGAGTGGGGACCAGTACTCGCCACAGATGATGACATTAGCTGGTGCCAGTCGCGCTAAAATCACGAATTAGTAGGAATTAGAATTCATGGGCTAGCTATTGCGTTAGATACCAGTGGTTGAATGTTCTACGAGCTTGCCTTGTAACCGATAGGTCCTGGACTGGAACCCCAATGGGGTGGGTGTGTGCACTGGTGATGAGTCCCAACTAGGCTGACGAAACATCTCTACTTTTCAATCTGTGGTCAAACCTGAAACGAACGAAATCCGTATAAGCACGAACTCTTGAAAATGCTACATACAGTCTAATGGGCTCGTAAATGTTTCAATTGTCTAGTCATAGATAGTCAGTTAGTGTCTAGAATTCATTATTGTATCAAATACGCAGTATTGGTTGGTCACGTGTTAGTATAAAAAGCTAAACATACATTGCTCTTTGTCCAGTAACACAGAGCTATTCTAGTAATATACGCATGGTATCTCATAAATAATTGTGTTGTTGTATTGATTAATATTTCTTTAAAAAAAATTGTTGCTACTGTATGAGAATATGTGTTTTGTCTGTTAATTTACACATTAAGCGACAGTCTTATTCCAAGTGTGTGTTGTGTGGTCGGGGGTGGGTGGGGTGAATTCGGGGTTTTGATTCTCTTATTTTTCATTTCTCCAGGTATCACTTTCAATGTCAGCCGTATTGACTTCACCTGTGATCTAATTTACCCGTCGGAAAAGATCTGGTTACCGTTGTCTGCTTCCGTGTACGATTTAATTTTCGAAGTTTGGCAGGTGAGTTTTGTTTTTTTCTCATTGTAGACGGAAATGTGTTTCTTCCTCCGATTTTTACCTCTGTCAGTTTAGATTGAACATCAACTTCAATAAATCTTCTAGGAGACTGATAGTAGTAGTTCAACAGGATTCCACAATCATTTTCTAAAATATTCGTCAATATGTGTATGTGGGGGTTTGTCACGGGTGTATCTGTCCATTGGTGATGCGATCGGTAAATTATTATTGTTGTCACCAAATAGCCTATCAGCATCTGTGCTGGTCAGCTGACATACGTGATAACGTGACCTAACTTAAAGAGTCATGTACTAATTTGATGGACCAATGACATTCGCTGAAGAGCTTAAAGTGTACTCCACTCAATAACAGACTTCCAACTAGAATTCTAATTATAGTCGGTCAGTTATCTACGAACAAAATGCCAAAAATGAAGTCACTTTTTAATAAGTAGTGTAACGACAGAAGACAAGGGCCAGGCAACAGATCGTTTGTTGAGCAAAATCAAGAAATATTTATAGATTTTTATGTACATTATTGTCAGTGGAGAAGCAACGTGTTCTGATTGGTTGTTTTCTTGCTGAAGGTTATTCTGTACTGCTTGTGACCGTTTCTTAGAAAGTTAAGCCATATATCTGCGAATCGTATTTACACACGTTAAGTCTGCTGTGATTGGTTGGTGAGTTCCTCAAGGTTAAGCTTTGTTATTGTTTTTTCTCATGACCTCCTGATTCGGGACGAAACATTGACGTAAATTGCTGTCTACAGTTTTTGGCTTGTTCGCAGGCAGCTCTCACCACAGTAGTTATCCCCTATGCTTTTGAAACTCATGTTGTTCAGTAGTAATGTTTAGTTAATGTCAATAAAACACTTTGAGCACTGTGGAGTAGATCAATTAAAGTATGATTATATTTCAACTGGTTTACTTACACACAATGATAAGTTTAATTTTTTATTTGTGCTGATATAACAGTGAAATTTCGTTAGTAGTTGGGGCTTGTAGGTGTGACTGGTGGTGGTACAGGTAACTAAGTTTGATGTATTGCTACATCCTACGCCTATTCGTTTTATCACAGTTAAAATAGATGTGTGTGTGTGTGTATGTGATATCACGTGATATATCGATCTGTTTATAGCATGAGAGAGAATATATTTGTCAAAATTTTTAATGTCTGCCTACATCATCATTCATACACTTGACAATATCAAATTATCATAATCTATATATAGTTTATGCGTCACGTCAGACTGTTGTGGGGAAACCGTAAGACAAGAGGAGAGTACGTTGGACTGACGAAAAGACTATAAAAGGTCTGGATTTTGTGGATGATTTACGTCTAATGTCACACAGACTCGAAGACACCTTCAGGGCGAAAACTAAGAAATTAATAGAAGCAGGAGGCTGAGTGGCTGGATTCAACATAGAACTTGGCACCGAAGTGTAGCAGTTCGAGTTGCCACGTTCCAAATAGCACACAAAGGTAGACAGGAAAATGTGAGAAGAGAATCAATAGAGTTTTGACAAGTATAAGAGTGAAACAGAATGAGTAATGGTAGAAAGGAATATCAAAGATTACAGAGACTGAATACATCTGCGTAAGCCATTGACAAGGATTTTGAGCCATGTCACCTATTGTCTCCAGCCATTGATTCTTAGAGTCCCGAGGGCCCCGACCCGGAAGTCTGCATCTCCCTACCTGACTCAGTTTAACTGTGAGGGATTTCATGGATTGATGAGGCCATGTTTTTGTTTGGCCACCACTTACTCTTTTCCAACCTGCGCCTATATCAGCTAGTAATGCCCGTCCGTCAGGGGAGACGATGGTTAGGCATGCGCAGCACGTGACCTAGCCATCTCAATCTATTTAACTTTATAGCCTCTTCGATTGATTTTCCCTCCTTGCCCAACACTCTACGCCTAACGTCAACGTTACTTACCTAGAAGCAGGGGGAAAGGTAGGATTTCATGTAATGAACACAGAGAAGACGGAGGTGATGAAAATAACCAACTAACGATGACAACAACAACAATCAATGGAAAAAAGAAGTGAAAGGGATCACCTCCTCCCCTCCAACTGCAGACAGACTGTACGGATGACAATGTTAAAGCCAAGTCAGTCAGTCAATCAGGATGCGAAAGGTAGCACAGACTGAAACCAGTTTAGAAATCTTCTGCACTTACTCAGAATAAGGAATGAGATTCGAATTTTCAACACTAATGTCAAGCCAGTCAATGCTTATATATTTTTGTTTAGAGACATAGCAAGTGCTTCACAAAAAGTGTGGAGTTTCACCGAGCCATTTTAGACTTTTATCAACAGTTTTCTTCAGTTGTCCCATATTGAAGATCGAATGCCGAGTCAGAATGGACTGTCAACAAGGAATCCTGAGAACGAACCAACGAAGAACCTATTGACTAAGAAAAATGACGAAGAAAATCGAGATGGTGAGGAGACGGTTGCATCGGTCGAGTGCAACCCGAATGCTAAACGATGAGTTGGGTGTGTGTCTCGTAGACTTCGTGACATGGAGGAGATCTTTTGGGGGGTGGTGGAGATGAGAGACTATGGCCAGGTGAAGAGGACCACAGAGAATTGGACAAAGGGGAGATGTCTTGTTGAAGCCTTATGTTCCACTCGGAACGCAAGGGAATAATCATAATCCCGGTGGGTGCGTACTGATGAAGAGTCCCAAACTAGGATGAAACAGCTGTCCAATACTCCCAGGTTTTCCAATCGTTCTCTAACTAATGTCAGCTCATGATGAAAATCCTGTAACCAATCAAATCCTTACAAACCAACACTTGAATCATAATATTTTTTAACCTATTCACAAATTATATAATATATGCAGAAATACTAACCTCCAGAGTAACGTTGAAATTGATTACGTCGATCTATCTGAGTTATCATATATTCATCAACTATATTCATTAACTCCCAGCCTTAGATATTCATCTACAAAGCGTTTAATGAATTCTAGCTTTATTCGTCTTTTGTATCTACTTATGAAATATTGATAAAATATGGCAAGTTTATAAAGATTTACTTGATTCTGAGAATATCTGCTCTTAAATATCCATCCTTTGACTAGGTAATGTCGAGTAGTTAGGCTGCTGCATCAAATATATCCCCTGGACATTCACTCGTTAAAAGTTAGTTAGACTTCTTCTTCTTAATGTGTTCTCTGTATCATTTTAAAGGATTTGACATTGATTTTTTTGGTGTTGACTACTATACTTGCATAAAACTATACTACTATTGTGGTAAGAGAGCTGTCTGCTAACCAAAATTGCTAGACAGTCATTTACGTCAATGTTTACGTCCCAAATATTGGTCATGAGAAAAAAACAAGAACGAAGACTTTGCGTGGGCGGATACGATTCGCATATATATATATGGTATGACCTTCAAGTAAGTGGCTACAAAGAGATGACAGATTAACTTACAGCGCGAGAACAACCAATCAGAAGATGCTGTTTCTCTGCTAACAATGACACATAATAATGTACATAAAAATATATAATTATCTATTGATTTTCTCAATAAACGATCTGTTGTCTGGCCCTTGTCTTCTGTCGTAGTAGTTGTACAGCACGCATATTAACCAGCAGTGCTTGGTGGCTAGCCAGATTCAAGTGACGTCAGACAGATATTTCGCTCGTTTGGCGTCGAGCTCATCATCAGTGTGTAGCCTATTTGACTCAGCTTGCCTCCTTGATTACTATATTCATGGAATCAAGCAGGCAGATCACACATATTTACTGTTTTTGGAATTGATGATACAAGTATGTGCATTTTCGGAAAATAAAACTGTTTGTTAAATAAGCAATCGAAGGACATTGTTTAATTTGCCACTTTTGTGTTTTATTCACCAACCAACAACACTAATCTTAGATCAGTATAAGTGTAAAAAGAAAAAACCCTCTACCGTTTTAAACTGATCAAAATACTCAAAGGAGGGTTTGGGTGGGACTCTCCTCACCAGTACACATTCACCGCTAGGGTTCGAATCCAGAAGATTCCAACGGCAAGACGAGCGCCTGTCAATCCTTCAGTCACTGGGACCCGGCTCAATAATAATTACCCATGAATATCAACCTTTGCCATTGGTGAATAACAGTTCTCTTACCTGACAAGGTGAACTCCACTGGTTCGAATAGTTGTCTAACTGATATCAACTTGTAATCGCACGCGTAACCAATAATCATTCAATCACTCGAAGCCAAGAAGAAAGTGTCATCGAAGAACACTGTGGTTCATTTGGTTCCCTTGATAAATTTCGATTAAGAAAGGAAGACGAAATTTGCAGTATGAAATGATATCATTCTATTTCACAGGTTCTCATCAGCTGCAGACTATCTGAAATTACAATGGTTATATAGATAATAATAACATACCTTAATGTTTAAGTGGTAGTAGAGAAGAAATACTATAAAGTTGACGCATCCAAAATGTAAGCAGCATTACAATTGTTATTTCGAATTTTCACCATCAATTTATACACTTTCAAAATAGAAAAGGGGGAGGAGGGGTAAGACAGAAAACACAAAAAAATAACAGAACAGTATTAGCTTGTAGGTTCACATAGCAACTAAAAAACAAAAGCGGTTACAGTTAATGAGATTAAGATTTGTTCAGTGAGTTGAGATCACTGAATTAGATGACTAATTAATGTCATCAAAATCAAAATTCAGTTACCAAGGGAGTGAGAGGTTAATCACACTTTCTGTATGCATAAGTCTGGTTTAAATCGTTTGATTGCTATCGCTTCGGCAAATCGTAGTAAGTTTGCTGTCCTTTGTCTAATAAATATTTTGAAGGTAATGCTTTCATTTTGGATACGTGACTTTTATAGTATCTCTTCTCTACTACCACTCAAACGTTAAAGTAGTCTGCAGCTGATGAGAACCTGTGAAATAGAATGATATTATTTTATACTGCAAATTTCGTCATCCTTTCTTCTATCGAAGTTTATTGAGGGAACCAAATGTATGAAGTTTTTGAAAAGACACCTCCCTGCACAAACTATTAAGTCACTGAATCAGGTGATGACCATACGATGCAGAATATCTAGAGAATCAACAAAGATCAGGTTTCTATGAACAGTATTTGCAAACGGGTTGTTTCCCACGGCAGTTCCTGAAACAAGTGCGATCGGCTAAACTCTCACCTTCTCAAAAGAATCTCCATCGAATAACAAAGTTCCATATCGAATCCTCGTACCAGTACCTCTCCGAATTGAAATCCCGTCTGGCTACCTATGATACCCTACTGAGTGAGCTTAATATTATTTGCTGGCTCAAATTCATGAATTTTATCAAAGAGCTACAATCAAAAACATCCGAGGATTATGAAACTCAGCTGACAAAAGCGTTGGTGAAAGAGAAGCTAATCGAAGAATTCCCAGAAGCACATGAACGCTACGTTTGTAATCTATCAAAATTACAATTAAACAAAATTGAATTAGAAGCCTTATCTCTAGGATTCAAGTTTCACGTCCCCAAAAACTACATCAGTCGTATAGACACAGAATCACAATCCGAACACTTATACCATCAACTCTACGACTTGAAACCCCTGGAAGAAGATAAAAGAGGATGGCTTAAGTCTAAACTTGTTGATATTGCCAACCAATACCATATATCGCCAATGGAGAAGCAGAAGATGCTGATCGAAGAGCATAGAACAGCTCTGAAGAAACTCTATATGAGAAGGATGAAATCGTCATATTTAGACCTGACAAAGGCTCTGGGTTTGTCATAATGAACAAAGCTGGTAATGCTTTTATTTTACTTACTTTACTTTACTTCGGCTATGTCCTACGGGAGGATGAGCCGGCTTCATGAACATCTCGAATCATCGCTGCCCAGGCGCGGCGATCTAATGCAAAGTTTTGCGACAGGGTTATCCAATTCTTGTTCCACAGACGGAGTCTGTAGACGGTTTGTAGCCCCAGGCACTCCATATCAGCCTTGACTGTACCAAGCCATGTTTTCAGCTGTCCACCCCTGCGACATCGCCAAGATGGTAATGGCAAGGGATTTAGAACTGATTTGACCAGATCGTCATCTGGTCGGCGCAGAACATGGCCAAACCACCGAAGGCAAGGTTGTTGGAGAGTTCATGAAGTTTCATGGGAATTTGGTACGAGTGATGTCCCCAGAATCGCTCGGCCTTTTGTTTGAGAGTGCAGCTCTAGCCTTTACACAACCAAGTGTGACCTACAAGGCAGTAGGAGTGGATGCGTCACTTTCTTTATCGAAACACTGTCGTTGTTGTTGTCGTCGTCACATACAACAAAATCTAGCCGAGTATGTGTTACCATAACTCTTTCTTATTTTATATTACTTATTTTTGCTAAAAGTAGTTGTACAAATATTTAGTGATGAATAAGTATCATACCATTCTTATTTTTCAGTTGTATACAGGAGAACAGTTAATTGATGAAGAACTTATTAGTGGACCAGCTACAAGTGGATTACAACTTATCTTGGATAAGTCATTTTGTCAGTGTCCAGCACAACTGTCATCTTTTCCTATTCCACAAAATGAAGCCTATAATCTACCTGAATGGGCAGTGATCTTATACACCTGTGATCATTCGTTGAGTGCAGCTGATTTACCTCCTCTCAGTGAAATTATAAACTTTACACATCAGTCAAATTGTAGCATCTTTTCAAAATCATATTCCAGTGGATCATTTAATCTTTATGTGGATATAGGCGCTTCATATGATGGATATTGTGATCCTGTACACAAAATTCTGATGCTCATTCAATATCTGATACCAACTCAGATATGGATCAGGATGATGACAATGATGATTGTATGATTACAAATTCGAATAATTTAACAGAAACAATGCACAATGGACGACGACATGATGTTGTTGGCAGGAAACGCGGTAGATGGCAACTGTCGAGTAGTTCTGTGGAGACTACGGATAATATTAATAATAATAATAATGATAATAATACTAAGATTCTGCCTAACAAGGATTTAAAATATCGACTGCATAAGATATGCTCAGTGGCTGAAAGATATCTATACCACACAACATTCCAGGTCATTATTCCAAGTGAAGCAGAAAGTGAGTTTTAATTCACATTTTCCGTTTTATCTTGTTTAATTTTTTCTTTTTATGTTAGATGTTCAAGTGTTGGTTTGCAGGGATTTACGTACCGATGAAGAGTCTAAAATTGGGACGAAATAGCTGTCCAGTACTCCTATGTTTTCCGATGTTTCTATAACTGGTATCAACTCATGTTGAATGAAATCCTGTTGATAGATGCTCGGAGGCAATCGGAAGGAAGCTTTGCTTGACCCTGGGTTTCGTGCTTGTCAGCAAAATTAGCGTATCTACAGCTTAAGAAGAATTCATCTCCCTCCTGAGATTCGAACCCATGTCTCCCAGCGCTGCACTCAGTCAGATACGTTACTATTGAGCTATTCGGACTCGCGATTGTCCTCCTATTGGACTGTATTAGATACTTTGATTGGACACTAATTAATAACATGCGTCTAGTCTTCTGTTTGCTGCAGATTGAATTCTGTCAGTCAAGATTTTTAGCTGGCTCTCCATCACGGTGCACTCATAATTGTTGTTATTAGATAGTTGGCAGCAGTTGACAGGAAACAGCAAAGTGTGTATCTGCAGTCATGTAGGAACTCATTTCCCCTCGGAGATTCCAACCCGTGTCATCCAGTGCTCGGCAGTCAGTCGAAGACGCTACCTCTAGACTATATGTCTTGACGACTGACTGACTACCTGTAGGACTGCATTAGGCTTTTGTTGTAATGCTGCAGAGCTTTGAAGATGCACTTGGTACGTCTCATCTCCGTATTCATCCTAAATTAACTGTATATTTTTCACACTAGGTTATCGGGTTATTTCGAAGTCGTAAAGATTTTTAGACTGAAGAAGACTTGCATCATAAAGGTTCTACAGAATAACTTAGCTATGTATAACTAACTTTTTATAGACGAAGTCGAACTGGTGAATTTTGAACTGATTGTTTTTTAACAACTTTCAAATAACCAAGCAAATTATGAGCATTGAGTAGAGTTTTAAATATAGTGCACATTTACTTCAGTATACTAAAATTCATATCAATATGTTGCTCAGCACTGAATGCAGGTAATCAAACCGACCACAGAAACAGGACTAAGAATATTGTGTTTGACAGGCAACAGTGAAGAATAGACGCCACAGTCGAATGGCCTTGAACCAACCAATCAGAGCATTCAGCATTGCAAATGACTTTTTCATAATCTTAACCTTGAATCAGGGTGAGACTTGCAACATACTTTACGAAAAGCATCCATTTTTAATGCTGAGTGATCTGATTGGTTGTTTCAAGGTCATTGAACGGTAATGTCATGTCTATTCTCTACAGCTGCCGTATGATGTTTTCACAATCTGCCTATGGCAGTTGGATTTTTACCAGTAGTTTACGTATTTTGTAAGTCTTAAGGTTCAGAAAGGTTTGCATGATCAGGATCAAATCATCAACAGAATTCTGTGATTGGTTTAGTTCCTGAATTTTTTGTTTAACGAACTGTTATCAACAATGATAATAATAATACCGTCTGACATGTTGATGAAGAAAAACTGTTGCAGTTTTGCAGCTCGTAGAGTGAGTGAGTCATGTTAGGCGATTGATTCTGCGCTTTTGTAAAGCCCCGTAGATGATAAGCATTCGAATGCCCTAGCTCTTATAATTCCTCTTTTTGAAGCAAATAAAACGTTTTTGCATCTATTAAACATATAAGTTCTTCGAATAAACATCAACAAAAGGTGTTCACCACTGTTTACCTTTTGTTATTCAACGTATTGGATGGGATTATTTGGAGTATATTGGTAGATGTTGACCAACAGTGGAATCCAGGATGCATGTTTCGTCCTATTTGAGACTCGTCACAACTGGATGTACCACCCAGATAGTGATTGTGTTCTCACCTGAGACCACCGAGCACTGTGGTTAAAGGCTCCTGTTGATGACGGTTACGATGTATGAGATTGAATCTGTTCGGATCAACTGAAGGGTTTGATTTGTCTCCATTATAGTCAGACCTAGCCTGTTGTTCATTGGTGTTAAATTTGAAGAAGGAAGATAACTTCTGTGGATAGACCTTTTTAGAATGTCTCTCTATTGTTCTGATGGGGGGGAGGGTATATTTTCCACAATTTGAAATAATAAACCCGCCTTCATTATTTTTCTTCATTGATATTTTTTTCCCCGCAATACTTTAGTTGCTTCATTGCTTGTCCAATGTGAATTTTTGGCAAATGGCGAAGATACACCGGGTATTGGTAGTAGTAGTAGTAGTGATTCAAAGTTTGTCAACTCAACACCTCTATCTGATACACATGATGTCTATCAAATCACAAGTAAAACTGATAGTGTTTCACACTCTGTGCCTCCAATGATGAAACCATCAGTTTCATTGGGTAAGTGTGTGTGTGAATCACTCTTTTTTGTAGCTGATGTTCTCTATAATACTTCTGTTGTTTTTTACCTGTTACTGTTGCCTCTTCTTCTGTAATTGTACTTTTCGTGTAATGAAATAGTGTCTAACAATCGGTCAAGAAATTAGCTTAGATCATCGTATACACGCCAGATCCAGTTGAGCTGTTACCCTTTTTTCCATGTCAATATAGTTTTTATACGTTCTTTATAAGTCTTCTGTGTAACATATCAGTTACATCGTTGCCGTGATGCTTTTGAGTGGGACTCGAATGATGTCCCCCACCCCTCCCGCGGGTTGTGTTCGAAACAACATGTGTATATGTAACTCTCATAAGGTTTGCATTTTATGGAGTACTTTTTTCTTTAAGCGTCGATACCAAACCGAAAAGCATTGAAAATCAAGGAGAACTGGTGATGAAGAGCTGTCTGTCTCATCCTGCTTTGCAGTAGTCATTTGTAACGTTAGGAAATTCCTAAAATACACCTCTTTAGTGCTCACTAATGTTGCTTCGCGATGTAATCTGCTTTTCATATTTTTTAAATCGATGTCTCTCTATTACTGGTTTGATTAGTCCTGACCCTCTGTGTATGAAAAAAATATGGAATTCAAGAGTGAAACTTTACTGAGTGATGTATATGCCTAAATATATATTCCTTCCATGGTAATTATTATTATTATTGTTCCCTTGAGCTCCGAGTGGAAAATAGGGCTTCAACAGCACACATCCACTTCGTTCTATTCTCTTCTGTCCTCTTCAGGTGACCCCACGGTTTCCCATAGTCTCTTATCTTCTTCCTGAACGATCTCCTCCATGTCACCCTCTCAATTCACGCTCAACTCATCGTTTTTCATTCGAGTTCCAATCAAGTGATGGCGTGGCGCGCAGTCTCTTCAGAAGCATGTGTCTGATTCCTCCCCGTTTTCTTCGGAATATCTGTTGAGCAATAGTTTCTTGATTGATTCGTTCCTAGCGTTACTTGTTGATATTCCTTTCTGACTGGACACACCTGGTCTTCGGTATGATGCCAGTGAAAGTGGCTCTGTTGATAAAAGCCTGAACCAGCCTGTTCGAAATGCATGCTTTCCGTGACTCGCACCTTAAGCTTCTGGCCTATATAGAAGAACTGACCGACTGAATTAACTTTGGTTTAGAAAGTCCAAATTTTGCTGTTTATGCTGAGGCGTAGTACAGAAGATTTCCAAATTTATTTGAGATTAATGAAGGCCTGACTGTCTGTCTTGTGTTTCCCATCCCGATTGACTGGTTTTGACATTCTCCCCTGTACTGTTCGTCTGTAGTTGAAGGGATGATTCGTAGATAAGTGATGAAAGTGGCATCTTTGGAATTTCTTCCGTAGATAGGGATTGTTGCTTGTTATTGTTTTTAATTCGCGAAAAATACCCATTAAGACATTGAAATAAGAACAAATTAGTTCAGCGAAGAGTCCCTACCAATTCACCTGCTCTTGCGGAGCGAGGTATATAGGTCGTTCGATGCGAGTTTTATCTAAAAGAGTTCAAGAACACTATCCCGCCTGGCTACGGAAAGGTAACAACGAAGCAATAAGGAGCGCCATTATTGAGCATATACTCAACACTGGTCATTCGATTTGCAAGGAGAAGTCGTTCAAAGTCATCTATAAAGTCAAAAGAAGCCTTCCAAAATCGACAAGCTTCCGTATACTTTGTATTGCCGAAGCCTTAGCGATTTGGATAGAAAAGCCTGATTTATGCACACAGAAGAAACTTCTCCACCCCCTCCTACTACCGTGGGTTTAATTTCATGTTTATCTGTCATCAACATTTTGTTATCAAATTTTTTTGCAATTTTCATATAATAATTTTTAGTAACTAACCCATTCAATCTTTTCACCTATTATCTAGTTTATTTTCATAATTGTCTCCATACTCCTTCACTAACATCTAATCTTTCTAAACATGTCTATATTACGTAACCCTACTCACATCTTACCAATCTTCACCCCACTTAGTTACAAATTTGATTATAATTCACACATTTTAATTTCTTAATTATTTTGATGATGTGATCAACAACTCACACCAACTGTTATTTTGATTTTGATTTTGACAAACCTAATGTACACACACACACACAAAATTAATTGTATATATTTGCGACTGTACAGCTAAGTGAATGAATTCGCCGAAAAGAGACTCTTCGCTGAACTAATTTGTTATTGTTTTGTTAGTGGTTGGTTGGTTGTCTTGTCTCCGCTGTTTCTTCAGCCACTTTATTGGTTTTCGCCTGTAGGTGTCTTCGAGTTTTTGCGAAATTAGCCATAGATCATCCACAAAATCCAGATCGTCTAAAGCGTTCTTATCGGGGTCAACGTATTCCTGTCTTCTCGCTACAATTAGAAATATCATCCAGTACTAGGTAGACAGCCTCGGCTAGTTTCTGTATTTATTTGAAACGTCTTGCTGAGTTTTCCGTTATGGATCGCCTACATATAGGAATTGTCATAAAGCTGTTTAGTGAGGTTGTGCCTACTTCAAATTGGCGTAGTGTTATTGTGTCCACAGCATTTTCTTAAATTTCTTTTCTTTTCCTCTTTTGTCTTCTTCTTGTTCCGTTGTCAGATAATGTCATCGCATCAATGAACTCTGTTGATGTTACTGCGCACACGAATGATATGAGTCCACCAGATTCTCGGTGTTCAATTCATGCTCAGTATGGAAGTTTACACGATAGTGAAAAATCTGTTTCCTTGTCATCTACATCATCGTTATCATCATCACCGTCGCTGGAAAATTTAATTTCGTCAACAGAACGCGATGACTATCCTTTGAGACGTCGTAGTAATTCACAGCCTAGTTTCATGAATCCTTTTGAAGGAAAGTTAACAGAAACAACAACAACAACCGCAGCAGCAATAACAGAGCATCCAGTTTCTCCTCTTCTATCTGAATCATCAAACAGAAATGAATTAAATTCAAGTTTAGTAGCTATGGAGGTTGACGGTATGTCAGTGCATCAACCGTCGCTATTGGATGTTGCCATGGACAGTAATAGCGCCATTCATGAATTGGAGACGAATCAAAGGTACACTTGTTATTATTATTAATATGACCATTATTACTCTATATATTTCATTATTGTGTGTGGAAACTATTGATTTCATGAATTTTTTATGAATCCCTGGCCACTGTACAGGCGATTATTATTATCTCTCAAAGACGACTGACTGGTTTCAACATATAGAACTTTGCACAGATGTGCACCAGTTCCAGCTGCCACTCTCTTCCCCATGTAGCACACATAAAGCAAGAGAAGAGAGGACAAAGATCTTCAGCTATATCATCAGTAGTCTTTAGCCTTCATTGGCTTTCACCATCCCGACGACCCCAACCAGTCAGCCTGTCGACACCTCCGTGTGCGTGTCCAGCTTAAACTAACTGTTATGGATTTCATTGATTGACGAAGTCATATCTTCGTTTGACCAACACTAGCTCTTTTCCAACCTGATCGATCCTATGTCAGTTAACATTAACTGACGAGGAAGGCGATGGTTAGACTAGGCACACGCGTAACACTTATCTTAAAACGTTTCTCCCAAACAATGGAACTTCACAACCTCGTCGATTGATTTTCCCCTCCTTACCTGGCACTCGTGTTGGCAAACTCGATTGTTGGAAAGTTTTGAATTTTAATTCAATAGCTCTCCAGCGTAGTCTATCACTCTTTGTCTATAACGATTATTCTGGCTAGTAAGATGTACCACTGGCGCTGCATGATTGTAACCTTGGTCAATTAATTTATCACACTACTTTTATTCCACACCATGCGTCCTCTAACACCTGTAGAAATTCAGTGTGGTTTGATGTTGCTCTCATCATTATTGGAGTACGTTTGCTTGCAGCCTCATACACCAACTTTACCTCGCCTCCAGCTTTATTATCGGATAAGGTGAGGTTTAAGATTACGCCACCCATTGAATTGTCAACCTAGACATCTAGGATGGTCCAGCACTGAATTATGCCAAATCACTATCACATTGAAAACATTTATTTCCCGATACAAATTTAAAACAAGCAATACAGTTTAATAAAGCAGGATTTAATGAATTCATTAAGTTTCGGTAGATCTCGTCAGCTGAATACTCTACATACACGGATATATATGTACTTTTGAAGTTACATTGGGAGATATAGGACTGATAAGTAAACAAACTACATTGAATTAGTCATGCAGAAAGACAGGTGCGAATGTTTTCCAGGTCATGTTCAAATAGATAAGAGGAGAGGAAGTGTCAGAGATCAAAATTAAAATAAATTGCATTACGCTTCAATTACATCACTTAGATAAACAATTAGACATTAAAGAATTTAACAGGAATTGCAACCAGAGTAATATCAACAGTAATAGTTATAATAACAATAATACCGAAAGTGTTGAAGTGAGTTAAGATAATGCTACTGATAAAGGATAGTTTTAAATGAATCCAGAATCACTATCATATTGCTTAATTCATTCCTTTGGAATTGTTTTTTTCTGGATTTTTCACCGATATGTGTGCGTCGGTGGCACAGTGGTTAGGACTCTCGCCGACCATGCACATGGTCCGGGGTTCGATCCTCTGCCGGCGCACACCCGATATCTATGGTCGGCCTGTAAATTTGGGCTACCGATATCCATGCTGAAAATTCCATACTTGTACCAAAAATACGGTGTGGAATCAAGCTGTAAATCAAAATAAAATAAAAATAATTAAATGATGCAATCACTCACCCACCGGCATGCGGGTATTATATTCAATGGACGAATTCTACCTAGATAACACTCACAGATGTTTGTTGGTTACTTGTTACGGTTATTGGATGCGCAGATTGTTAGAATAGTCGGAATATGGAGCATACGGGGGCGATGTTTATTTAACTCCGTGTCAACTACACAATGAATCAAGTGATACATTCATTGTCTTTTGATCTATTTATTTCAAAGTGGTTTTCAAGGATATTGCTACTGTCTTGACCTACACACACACTTACTAACTTGCTTACTCACTCACTCACTTACTGATCTCCTCCCCCTGTTCGAAAAAATACATCATCCAGTTCGATCAAGGTGTTTCTCAGTTGAGTAAGCGTGTGATTTGGTACACCCAGTATACTCACAGACTGATTGACACAAGATCGGTTTCATGGCTGATTTTAACCCTTTATAATATCAGAGACTGTATTGTTGTGTACACGTGTAACATGGAATCTTAGTCCATTAGTCGTTATTGTCAGCGGAATGTATGTATATAAAGTGTACAGTCATTCAGAATATGAGATAAAATGTGAATAGAAGACAACTGGGGTGTGTGACATACTTACTAATGTATTTATCGTCCACAGGATACAAGTTTCATTAAAGGGTTGGGCTGAATTACATTCAATGGTGTGAGAGAACTATGATTACCACAAAATACATACAGACAATTACCAACAAATCGGGAAGACTGAGTGTAAGTTCAAGCAAGGGCTGACAGATATCAAGTGTAGTGATAAAATAAAGAGGTAAGACTGTGAACTGTAATAAACTACTACAGACATGATAGGCTTTGGTGTCAATTACAAAGGTTGACACACATAATAAGGATGATAATAATGGAATGAAGTAAAGTAGGTGAAAAGGAATGGGAAGTGCTTAATTTAACATGAAAATATGAGATGATTATGTCCCTGATATCCTTCTAGTAGACCAGCGTAGTTAACGAGGATGAATGTGCTGTTTTTGCACACATAGATCAGATTTCTTCTTAATAATCTCAATAGCTTCGGCTATAGCTATATGACACGTAATCATGTGCTTTTGGCCGGATTGTTTGGTACTTGATATACAACCGTAAATGAATGACTCATCTATTTTGATGCGCTGTTCACTATCAACTAGATAAGATTAAGTAGCACTATTTATTATTGATTTCGTTACTCTTTTTCTAAGCCAGACAAGAACATGTTCATGTTGTATGTTGACTACAAATAAATTAGTATGTCACCCATTTTATCTTATGTTCTGATTGACTGTATATTTTATATACATTCAATTGACAGCGCTAACTAACTAACTAACTGTCACTCGACATTATACATGTAGTCCAATACATTTTCTGATATTTCATTTCATTTGCCTTTACTTGTTGGCTGTTTGTTGTATTCCGATGGATTCATGGATTTATAACTGTGTAAAGAGGCTGACGGACTTGTTTCAACATAGAACTTTGCACCGATGTGCAGCAGTTCGAGTCGCCACAGTTCATTTAGCACACAAAGCAAGAGAAGAAAGTTAAGAGAGATTCAAAACAGAGATATGAGGCAAAAAGAACAGTAATATCGAAGAACAATGGAGTTTTATTGGATATTATAAGTCACAAGGAGTGGATGCATCTGCGCCAGCCATTGAGAACGATCACTTTGAGCCATATCACCAATTGTCTCCGGCTGTCATTGGTTTTTACCGTCCCAGGGACCCCGACCAGAAAGTCCTACGTGGATGAAACTAACTGTTGTGTACTTCATTGACTGACTGATAAAGTCATGTTTTGGTTTGACCGCCATTAGCTCGTCTCCAACCTGATTCATCGCATGTCAGTCAGTTAACATTTCCCATTGTCGAGGAAGGCGATGACTAGGCATACGTAACACATGTCCTAATCATCTCAATCGATGTAACTTTACAGTCTCGTCTGTTGATTCCTCCTTCCATCTACCTAGCACTCGACCGATGACTAACCTCAATATTGCTCACCCTATTATACAACTTCACACGGGAGATGAAGTTATCGAAAACAACTGTCCTCACAAAACTCATCTTGTTCATATATATATATATATATATATATATTGGCGTTGTTGAAACTTTTCTTTATGTCCGGGAATACTTATTCATATAAAGGTTTTTGTATTGTTTTACCAGTATCTGTCAGCGTCATAGGTGATGGTGTTCTGTATCGTTCTGTTTTTTTTTTTTAAATTTTAATAAAAATACTAGACTTTGCCGTTTCGATGATACGTGTACAATTGGTACCAGTGTTTTCTTGAATGCATCAACTTTACCGCGGACAATTCAAGTCCATTTAGACGTACGTATATCTATTGAAGAATTTAGGAAAAAAGCCGGTGAATACCTAAAATTGGATCCTAAATATTTAAGTGTAAGTGTTGTATTTTGTTTTGTTTTTACAACAAGTGAATTTTTTCTAAATGGTTCATTGTCGTTATTCATTTATGCAGTCTAAGTGACTGTAACAGTCTAAAACGAAACCACCACTTAATAAACAGATTAATGACCTTGACAAATCTCTGTCGACCAATCAGATTCGTCCGAAGTATAAGTTGCATTATTTGAAAAATAAATGTTTATATAAAAGTGTTGCAATGTTAAAAAGTAAACACATAGGATAACGTTCCTGTATATGTTCCAAGAAAACCTCTCAGCTTCTCATAGGAATCCACATAGGGTTGGGTTAAACCATTTCCTGTACACAGAATCTTCGAGATAACTAAATCATCTAGCTTCTTGATATGTTCACTATTCTGATCCTCTTATTGAGGTGTGACTCCAGAAATTTTCGATGGCATTTGTATGAGTCCCAACGAAAGGTTCAACGAAATCGTCTGTACGACTGATCGGGTTGTGACCGTAACCCAGGGATGACAGCTGTATATAGCTTCTCCATAGGCCTGCGTCTATCGTTGTGCAAGGTAGGACTAAACATTGGATAGTAGGCAACAAAACATCGACACTGCTATCAGAACTCGTCTGAGTATATCCTTTGCGCAGAGTGGTGTCGTATATTCCCAATCCCCTCAGCTGATTGGCATTCAATCTACCTCGATCATATTTCCTCCTTATAAGGACTGTCTCATCCACATGAACGACATCGACGCTATCAAGTATTTGCTTCATACTGTTCATTTTTCGTGACGTTAAATCTCTGCAGTATTGATACCATTGCACTGCAGACACTTCTGAATTCTCTGTTTTTAATGTTGTGCTGTCACTGTCACTGGTCTTTTCAGAACCCAGTTGTGACACATCCTCATAATTTTCGGTAAAGGCAACGTCGACTTAGCGAAGATTCTTCACGGGCTGATTTTTTGCTTCGGCATTCTTCGCACCTGTAGACAAGTCAATCAATGCAGCGGGGTTATCTTTGCAAATCGCAACACACCACACCACACCACAAGTACACGCTTTCTCCCTTCCTATAACCCTGTGTTCCAAACAGTCATTAAATTCTAGTGCTGGATGAAATTTGCTACGTAATTGGTGTACAGCATCCATTATTCCGCCTATATACTACGGAATCATCTGATTGGTTGCTTAGCCGTTCTTCAGGTAGCTTAGTTTGTGACTGTTATAGTTTCGGTTAACCGAGATTAGATGATTGATTGATTCCACGACAGATTCAGTTCGTAATTTAGACCTGACTTCCACTTCCACTGAATCTTTTAATTGAACCAGTTAAATGTATGTGGTTAATTGGTGCGGTTCATTTTCTGTAGCCAGAGAAGGCTTTTCACAGCACAGCTTTATGAGGAAGAAAGGAAGGGTTACTATAAGATGGTTGGAGGCAATCGGCAGGGAGCCTTGCTTGACCTGCACTTTTTGTGTTTGTTTGCACTCGCCAGTTATCAAGGTGTATATGCAACTTTGAAGAGTCTCATCCACCTTGTGAGATTCGGTCCCAACGTCACCCAGTGTTGCAGTCAGAGACGTTATCACTGAGGTATTTGGGCTTGCGATTAACATCCTGTAGGACTGTATTGGGTACTTTGATTGTCCACTAGTTAGTAACTAGTGTAATGTGTCTAGTCCTTTGAGTGTTGCAGATAAATCATCCTGCCGACTGCCTCCAACCATCTAATATCAACAATTCAGAGTGCACAGTGATGGTGACCCACCTAGTGGCATGTTGGCGACATTGCAGACTTTACTGATAGAATTTGGTCTGCAGCAAACAAAGGAATATGACACATTGCACTAGTTACTAACAAGTATTCAATCAATGCAAAGGAAGGTTGTTCGAATCTCTATCCTAAAACACTTGCTTGACTTCTGTCACTCTACTAATAACTGTGGTCATGATATAAAGATGAACATTTATCGAATCCGTGCTAACTTGCCGACCGCGTTTTCTTCTTTGTAAACTTCTAAAGACAGTGAGGGCCTCGCCTTGGCCGTTCATGCATTCAAGCCAGACCTTCATGTACAGAAAAAGTATGTAGAGGGATAAACCTTTCTAATTTCCTTGTCTATTTATTAAACCTATATACTTTTCCCTCATTACTACTTATTACTATAATTTGTTATTGTTAACTCTTACTATTCTCACCTTGAACTGTTTCCAATATTATTTCAGTGGTCCCATTTATTGTTCTAAATCAAACAGTAGCTTTTGCCCTGTTAAATTCTGTCTTATCAAATTTCACACCACATATTGTGTAACCTTTTGTGTTTCCCTACCAATCCTGTGATGATACACTCCCTTCAGGCATTTATACATCTATAAAACACAAAATAATTGAGCAAAGAATATCCCTTTCGATAAATTCCTCTTCTGACTCTACAATTATATATGCATGTTTATATACATAGACGGCACAATAAGATGTGTATATAGAAAACCTACATCAACGGGTCAGTACACTCATTTTTTTCAACCTCGTGCCCTTGAAATACAAGCGCAGTCTGATGAAGTGCTTGGTCCACCACAGAGCAAGAGCAATCTCCTCGGATGAATGTCTTGATGAGGAACTTAATAATATTAAATGGTTGCTGAGTGAAAATAGTTTATTGATAAGAATATGAATCTAAAATCAAAGCAGCCCAAGGTACCAACAGTTCCTAAAAAGACCTTATTCTTACAAATGCAGTTCCTTGGGGACAACATCAGCGAAATACTAACACAGTGTCTTAGAAATGAGTTAAAAAGGAACATTCCCTGGGTCTTCAAAATCACTCCTCTTTTGCGTTTGGTAGTAAAAAACAAACTGCCTAATTTCGCCTCTTCCATATGTATCTACCGATTTAACTGCTCCTGTGGAACCAGTTACATAGGCCGTAGAATTAGGCGTGTTTGTCGTCGAATTTCCCAACATCACCCTGTGTGATTAAGTAAAGGACAAACAAAATCTATTCGCAGCGCTATTCTGTCTCATCTTGTGGATACAGAACACAAGATTGACGTTAACCTTGCTTTCAGGGTCATTTACCGCATACCATACCCACAAATCTCAATTTTGCCTTAAGAGTTTGACTACTAAATATTGCTGAGGTTGTTGGGATCCAGATTAAGAAGCCTAATTTGTGCATTCAAAAGAAGTTAGTTCAGACATTATCCTTACCGCTTGGCCATCTAGGTTTTAATGGTCCTGAATTTTGTGGAATTTTCCTAATTTTAGTTGATTATCTATTTGCGATTATATTATTATTATTATTATTATTATTATTATTATTTAAGCATCTTTAATGAACTGTGGTAATTCCCTTGTGATCTTACTTTACAAATCGATGTTATTTGAAAAAACACTATTGTTATTGACTACTATTCTAGAATATTCTATGTTTATAAAGGTGTATGTATATAATCGTGGAGCCAGAAGAGGAGGAATTTATCGAAAAGGATATTCTTTGCTCAATTATTTTTGTGTTTAATGGATGTCTGAATGAATATTTTTGCTAAATTTATACATCTTATGAACTATATATGACATTATTTGTTTTTACACTTGACAATTGATATTTAACTAAGATTAATCATAATCCCAAATATTTACAATTGTTTATACACAAATATAGGATATACAGATGTGGCAAAATCCTCATACATGCATGCCGTACATTAAAACTTCTATTTGCATATTTTCTCCTTATTGAGCTTTCTCTTTTTCTCCTACTTTTCATGTTTTTCTATGTTGTTGTTCTTACAAGGATCCTTCATTTCGTTTCTCCTCATCGCGCTATTCAATCTTTATGCATAATATTTCGAAATTCTTACAGAAAACATCACTCATAATTTACTACAAGACACTGGTTAACAGACTTTTTTCGAGTTAGTCCACGGATTGATATCAGTTGGAGAACCATTGGAAACCCGGAAGTTCTGTACAGCTGTTTCATCCTAGTTTGGGGCTTGTCGGCAGTACACACCCATTGGCTTTCGAACCACAGGACCTTCCGGTTACACGGCATGCTCGTATATCATTCAACCACTGAGACTCGATTCACTGACCAGTTCATGAATTCTATAACTTCTACTAATTCTTGTTTTTAGCGCAACTGTCACCAACACTAATGTCGTCGGCTAGAAATCCATCCTCACTCCCGACTGGATGGACCCCACTGGTCACGACTTTCCACTAGAACTCCAGGCCAGTCACAAGTTAGCATCAGATTGATTTTCAAGAGTTTGGTTTGTAAGGATTAGATTTGTTTATACGAGTTTAACCACAGATTGATATCAGTTAGAGGACCACTGAAAACCACTGAGGTTCAATCGGGAGTGAGGATGGATTTCCTGCAAATGACATTGGTTGGTGATCGTGGTAGAAGTTACGGTTCATAGACTGGCCATTGAAACAGATCCCAGTGGTTTGCCTTGTACCCGGAAGCTCCTAGGTTCGTAACCCAGTGGGTGTGTACTGCAGACGAGTCCCAAACTAGAACACCATATTAGTTATACAGTTTTGTTACATTTAACGTCGGCTTGGTTGTCGATTGGTCCAAGGTGTTGAGCAAATGATGGAGAAAACGTTGTCCAATGAGATCAATTCCTGGATAATATTATTTATATTTGTAGTTCATTTATATCATTATTGCTGTTGTTGTTGTTGTTGTCATCATTAATCTGTGTAAATATTTTCTTTTTTCGTATTAATTTCTTCATTATTTTTATTGTTAATATTTCAGGTTTTATACGAAGGAGGTATTTTAACGGATTTCACTACTTTTAATTCGAATCAGCCAGTAAGTTGATGTTGAACATGTGTATTGTGTGAACTCTTTTACAGTTCAGTTTTCTCTTTTTTTTAACTATCAACGTTTGTGGTAGTCAATCATAATAATAAATCGATTATAAGCTAACCAGCTAGCTGTCTGTATTTTGTCGCCTATAGATAATTCGTAAATATCTCAATTATGCGACAGATTACTTTTGCACATAAAGTAAAGTAATTGCAGATGTGATCGATGAAGTTTCAAAGAGTAGTAGTCACTTCTGGTGACGTTGTTGTGATGTTAGTCTGGCTGATGAAGACTAAGGTTTATAACTCTCCAGGCAATAAACTTTCATTAACACCATACCGGAGATTATTCAATAGTCGAGAAGAAGTGACAGACACAACAGCGAATACTGTCTACCATCCAGTCAGCCAGCCAGCGAATCAATCACTACTACGCAAGAACCTATGACTCACTCACTCACTCACCCAACAAATATGCAGAGGGGAGTGGAGTTTGAAGGGACACACAGTATGGGAGGGGGGAACCAGACATTCAAAGGGCATCACTCCAACTCCAATGGAAATGATGTTAAGAAGACGAAGTAAGGAGGGTTTGTGGACGGGCAGTTATTTGATGAAAGTGATGGGAGGTGGCGGGGGGGGGAACCGAGTGTAATGGAGATGTGCTGCTGAAGCTCGATGTCCCACTAAGAAGGCAAGGAACGAGTGTATAAGTAGTGTATCTGAAAGATGAGACACCACGGAAGATAAGCTTATGAAAGACACGGAAGCATCACTAAGGGGGGGGGGGAAACTAGATCCGTGAAGACTGCACGACTAAATCTATCCTGCATTGAATAAAAATTAACATTGTATATTTTTAACTAGATTTGTATTTTATGAACTATTATCGATTTCATTATTTTTGTATTTCCCAATGAATGAAAAACAATCCCTAAGGATTCTCAATCTAATTGCCTCTATAAAATAAAATCTTTGGAATATATGGTGCTATATACATCGATTGAACATCGTCACAGAGAATTCGAGGTAATCAGAATAAATGATGAACACCGTAAAGCCGCCTTTGTTTGACCACTGAGAAATCCAGTTGAACTTGAAAAGCTTGTAAATTCATCAGCCATAGGTTGTAGGCGACTGAAGGGCGAGTGTACTGCTCATCAGTCCACTCCGTCCTCCTTTATGGCTATGAGACCTGGTCATTGAGAGCGGAAGACATCAAAAGGTTATCTGTCTTTGATCATGGGTGCCTGCGTTCTATCTCCCGTGTGAAGTGGTATAACAAGGTGAGCAATATTGAGGTTAGGCGTCGAGTGCTAGGTTTGTGGGAGGGGAAATCAATCGACGAGGCTGAGAAGCTACATCGACTGAGATGGTTAGGACATGTGTCACAACACATGTGTCAAGGAACTTAGCCCTAAGTTCCTATTCTAGTGAAGATGTTTTCGTTTTGAACCGATAAATGCTATGTATATATCTCAACTTTAAATCCAAAACACCAGTATTCCTTGAACGAAATTATATTGTTTGGCAATTAAAGCGAGACAAAATACAAAGTCTGCAAACAAATATTAAGTACAAATGAAGTTATAAGGTACTTTTATTCGTGTTCTTTCCACCTTCTTCCAACTTGCAAGCGATCGTTCCATTCGCGCCTTCGAATTGTCCACCAATGGTTGCCAGTTCCAATAAACAAACGTTCAATGTTCACGTCCATTGGCAACATGCCTAGGCATAGCCTTCCTCGACAATCGCCAATGTTAGCTTACATAGAGTCACGCTGGAAAAGATCTAGCGGCGGTCAAACCAAAACAAGGCACCATTCAATGAAATCCACAACAGTTGGTTTAAGTCACGTAGGAAGTTGTAGACTTCCTGGTTGGGGTCCTCAGGACGGTAAAAACCAATGAAGGCTGGAGACAATCGGCGATATGACTCAAAATCGTTCTCAATGGCTGGCGCAGATGCATCCACTCCTTGTGACTTATGATTTCCAATGAAACTATATTGTTCTTCGTTATTACTATTCCTTTGTCTCATATCCCTGTCTACTGTCTCTATTATGCATTTCTTCTCTTGCTTTGTGTGCTACAAGGAGGGAGTGTGGCGACTTGAACTGCTGCACATCGGGTGCAAAGTTCTATGTCGAAAACAGACAGACAGGTCTACACACTATAGTATCAGATCAGAAAATTGATTTTGACAATATTGAAATAATGCAGGAGAAAATTTCAGAAATCATAAAGAATGTCTCACATCATATCAAGTGGAATCCAAATTGACTGAAGTGAATAGGAATGATGGACTAAAACAGAATTTTTCCCCTGGTTACAAAACCCCCTTCACCCATGAAATGACAAAATCAACACGTGATTCTGATGTGAACACATGCTGCTTTTGTATATTTTTATACACTTATCAAATCCAGCAGTCTACTACACCTGGTTTTGCTATCTTTACTAATTGGCCAACTTGACAACAACGTAAAAATTACCCCATGCTGATGGATGGTGGTTAAGTTGTTACATATATATTTTTATATATAAATGTATGTAGTAATATTGAGTTTACGTCATTTGCTGTATTTTAATCCCGTCTATCCCTTGCTTTAATGTCTTTTCCTTCCAACAGCTTAGAATTACGCTGTCGCCTTGTTTCAATATAGAAGAATTCTATTTACCCGTGTATGTACTTGATCTCGAAGGTGAAGATGAAGGTGGTGAAGATCAACATGTATCACTCAGCAGTCCTCCTATTCCTACTACAACAACTACAACTACTACCACCACCCCACACAAGAAACAGCTGATCTTAAATTCAAACGAATATCACCTATCTGGTCGAATCAAATCAATTTAATATTTCGTATAGGTTGGTCGGTTGAAAAAATATTGAAGTGTGCTTCATCAGTGTTAAAGCGTGTCTACAAGTTGGATGTGCCAATTAATCGGTAATTACTTTAAATTCATATTGTTGTTGATGTTGTTTTTGTTGCGGTTTGTTTTGTTTTATCTAATACAAGTTGACTGTACATTTCAGTATCATAGTTGTAGTCATTCCTACTGGGATAAGTTCAATTTATGCCTTCTTCGAAGTGTATCATATTCACCACATTCCTCTTCTCGCATATTCTGGCAGTTTAATCTGAATTCATTCACCAATGGTAACTCTTGAAAATTAATCTGATGGTCACTAGTGTCTGGCTCCTCCCTGGAGTTATAGTGAGACGTCGTGACCAGTGGTGTCCATCCGGTTGGTTGCCACGGATGATGACATCACGAGTTGATAGAAGTTCGAATTCCTGGTCTGGTCTGGTCTGGTCTGGTCATTTGAGTTGGCAGTCAGTGTCTAGAGTGGTGTACGAGCTTCTCGTGTAACCTGAAGGCTCTGAGTCCCAAAGTAGGCTGGCGAAACAGAGCTGTCCAGTACTTGAATGCTTGTTTTCAATGGTTCTCTCTAACCGTGGTCGAACTTGAAATAAATAGTCGTTTGCTGTCTTCTCGTCAAAACAGTTTACTTACTGAGATAATTAGAGACAGTCACGGATTCTAACTCTTCTCTGTATTGTATTGTATTGTAACGGACAAAAAGGTGAGAGAATTCGATTATGGAATTGCTTATTTGTCTTCGGTAGAGTACGTGTTTCTCGAGCGTCGTTTAAAAAATCCATCTCTACACCTTTCGATATTCTTGACAGTGTTACATACATTTTTTATCTGCATTTATATGCTACTTATATGCCTTCTCAGTAGCATACACCACAGCATCATTCACTCAATAGAGTAGCCTTGTTTGATCAATATTATCATTATTATTTTATTGACTTCAATGCTTATATTAGTATTGTTGACAGCGTATGACTTACTTTCAAAAAGGTTGTTTTCTGCTGTTGTTTCATATATCATGTGATCATCAATCTATCTACGTAAAACAAACAAAACTTTCTGAAAATTGTACACAATTCTGATTCAAAAATGATTCAGAAAAGAAAAATATATGTTTTGTTACTTGCGCCTTCTGATGTTCAACTCCTGGATAATAATATAATTCTTGTAGGTGAAGTCTTCAGTACACCTCAAGTAAAGTTGTCAAGAGAGAGAGAGAGACGGAGGGAGGGAGGTGGCTCTTCTCCGCCTTGGGATACTAACTTGTCAACTTAGCATTTTTGACATTTCACTGCAATTCCCTCTGGAAATCAAGTCGTTCAGATCACCACAATATATATGTGTGATCTGCCTGTTTGATATCATAAATATTGTTATTCAGAAAGCAAACATATTTGTAGAAACTATATACTGCCGGTTGGTTGATTGATCGATTGAGACAAGTGGTTGTTTGCTTGGAGGCTTTCATCATGAGCTCACATTGGAAAGCCTGGGAGTACTGGACAGCTGTTTCGTCCCAGTTTTGGGACTCTTCAGCAATACGCACACACCGGGTTTCGAACCAAGGACCTTCTGCTTACGAGGCGAGCTCGTAGACCATTGAGCCAAGTGGAACCGATCCAACGGTCCGTGAATTGGCAGAACTTAGAATTCAAGGACCGTTGGATCGGGTTCCAGTGGCTCAGTGGTCTACGAGCTCGCCTTGTAAACAGAAGGTCCTGTGTTCGAACCCCAGTGTAAGCGTACTGCTAAAGAGTCCTTAAACTAGGACGAAACAGTTGTCCAGTACTCCCAGGTTTTCCAGTGGTTCTCTAACTGACGTCAGATTCATGCAATTAAACAAAATCCCTACAAAACCAATACTTGAAAATAAGTGGTTGTATTGAATGCCACTCATACATTCGTCTATATAGTACTCACTGGTTATCCAGATGGAGGTGATCTAAACACACACCAGATGGTCGTTACGCTTATTTCAGGTGGAGCTCATCAGCGGTGTTCACTCAGCATGCTTTCTTGATTACCGTATTTATTGGTGGTATCATACAGTCAGATCTCACATATTGTGGTAATCTGAATCAGTTGATTTCCAAAGAGAGACTGCATCGGTGAAATTTCACTACTCGAACTGTGTAGATTTCAGTTCACCGAAGTAGCTAGCGAGAAGTCGGGTGTAGTTTCAACTGATTCGGCTCTGTGAACTTAGTTATCAAACAGGCTAGACTACCGCGGATGAACTCGTCGCCAAACGAGCGATCACCTCGATCTGGCTGGCTAGTAACCACTAATACTGGTGTCGATATGCGTAGTGTACAATCAGTTTAAGATTAGCTTCCATTGAGTTCTGACTATGCGTCAACCTGTTCACTGTTTGTTTGTCCATCGTCTTTAAGGTGTGTGGGGTTCTATCATTTTCACCGTATACGCGTCATGTAAATTCAGTAATCCTTAATCCCCTTCTGTTTCCCACCAATCAGAATTTTAATATTTCTCTTTTAATTTTTCCTCATAGATTACGATTGCGTAAATGTGCCCTACCGGAGCTGATACCAGGTCCAGTGTTCAATGAAGTCGATATCTTTAACACATTGCCTAATCAACATCAAAGTTTAATGTTACAATTGTTGAATGAAAATCATATTCACACTATTATCTCCTCACCTGTCAGCAATGCTGCTTCAAACTCTTCTGGGATTTTATCCTCCTCCTCGTCCTCCTCATCAGCTGCTGCAGCAACAGCAGAATCATACACAGCGTCGACGTTTACAAATAAATCACGTGTTTGTTCATTATTTATACGTCAATGGCACCCAGCGAGTTATTCCTTCGGTGAATGGCATGAATTATTATTGACATATTATCCTGTGAGTCAATCACGTTGGGACATATTGGTGGATTGGCTTGTTCAGCATACTGGATTACCGTCACAGCGTTTAGAAGTAGCTCAGGTAAGTGACTTTTTGTGTATGTATGCTTGTCTGTGGTGTGTGTGTGTGTGGCGGGTGCATGTTTTCATCGCTTTGAAGAGTAGTACTAATGATGTCACTAATTGTTTTAAGTAGTGGGCAGACCACAACTTTGATTTTAATTTCTACTAATTAGATCCTCCCCCAGCTGTGCGATGGTGGCCCTATTCTAATATAATTTTAATTTATACATAAAAGAAGAGCAAACACGTCTCATATTAATTAGATAAGGGTATTTTAAATATCACACAAAGTGTGATGGTGCAGTATTAAGTAACTGAATGACAAAGTTTCGAGCACCACTTATCTCTCTCTCATAATCACATCAATTTAGTCACATGGCTTCATAATTTGTCTTTCTTTACCACCTGCCTTTATCTCCGACGTAGGCGTTGCGTCATTCCGATTGCACGTGTACGCTGTTGGATTGACAAAGAAAGCTTCATTGATTAACCGCTCTCTGTCTCTCCACCTAACTATATTACTTTTTTAATACTCTCACCTTGTCCCACTCACCTCGTAGTGTGTGATTGATTGTGTGTAAGTGAATGCAGTGCAATGGATGAGCTTTTTTTCTAGGTTATTTAATATAAGTATTATACAATTCAAAACCTCTGTAGAGTACTGCCCTGTAAAGAAGAGGAACGTAAGAGGCCTTATGTAGGATTCTCGATTTCTATGTGTGTCTGTCTGTCTGTTTTCGACATAGAACTTTGCACCGATGTGCAGCAGTTCAAGTCGCCACACTCCCTCCTTGTAGCACACAAAGCAAGAGAAGAAAGTAGAAGAAATGCATAATATAGACAGTAAACAGAGGTATGAGACAAAGGAATAGTAATAACGAAGAACAATATAGTTTCATTGGAAATCATAAGTCACAAGGAGTGGATGCATCTGCCCTGTGGTTGAGAACGATTTTGAGCCATATCGCCGATTGTCCCCAGTCTTCATTGGTTTTTACCGTCCTGATGACCCCAAACCAGGAAGTCTACAACTTCCTACGTCACTGGCTTAAACTAACTGTTGTGGGATTTCATTGAATGGTGCCTTGTTTTGGTTTGACCGCCGCTAGATCTTTTCCAGCCTGACTCTATGTCAGCTAACATTGGCGATTGTCGAGGAAGGCTATGCCTAGGCATGTGTTGTGACACATGTCCTAACCATCTCAGTCGATGTAGCTTCTCAGCCTCGTCGATTGATTTCCCCTCCTTACCTAGCACTCGACGCCTAACCTTAGTATTGCTCACTTTATTATACGACTTCACACGGGAGATAGAACGCAGGCACCTATGATCAAAGACAGCTAATCTTTTGATGTCTTCCATTCTCACTGGCCATGTCTCTTTCACAGCAATAAAGCAGGATGGAGCGGACTGATGAGCAGTACACACGCCCTTTGGTCGATAGTCGGATATCGCGTCTACGCCAGAGACGGCGAAAACTGGCGAATGCGAAATTAGCCCTCTGTATCTATACTGAAATTTCGTCAGAGATCAACCCATTGGGGCTGATGGTACTTCCCAAATAAGTGAAGCGGTCAACGTGCTCTACCACTTCACTTCCTATTTCTAATCTAGGAGTCAATGTAGTCCAGTCCTGTAGCATCATCTTACATTTTATAGGGGCGAATCGCATGCCAAACATGCGGAGATTGTTGCTCAGGGTGTTCAGTAGACTCTGCATTTTGTCAGAGTCCTCGCTTAGAAGGACTATATCGTCCGCATATTCTAAGTCGACGAGATTATTCCCTGGTAGCAAGTCAATCCCTGAGTCTCTGAAGTGAGTTAGGGTTGGGTCCGTTAGTACATCTATGATGAAATTGAATAGGAATGGGGATAATGGGCATCCCTGGTGGACAGCACTAGTCGTCACCACCTCAGATGACAACTCGCCGTAAGCCCCCACTTGGCTGCATGAGTATGGGTAGAGTGCCTTGATCAGTGCAATGTATTTTGTCGGCATTCCCTATACAGCTAAGCATCGCCAGAGAACCTCTCAATGAGGCCGGAATTAGTCAGGGTAGCATCTAAACCAGCCAACTAATTCTCTCAGAGATGAACTTTGTCAGCCTAAGGACTCAATAGATCCAATGAAGAAAAATAATAATATCATTCACTAAATACCATATAATGACTGTAGGTGGGGACAAACCAGTAGATCGAGGTCAACTAGATTATTGGAATGTAAAAGTTTAGCTAGACCTAAAGCAATTGACTTTGTTAACTTAAATAAGCTAGAAAAAAAAGCTCAGTCATTTTACTGCATTCAAATGCATGTAGTCGCACACAATACAAGGTGGTGGGTGGGACAGGGTTAAAGTAATAAAAAGTAGCAGTATAGTTAGGTGGAGAGTAAGGTCAGTCACTAAATTTTTGTTTATCGATTGAGTATTGTACATGCTCGAAACCTTGTCATCCAGTTATTAATACTACGTCATCATTGTGTGTGATATTTAAAATAAACTTATCCAATATGACAGTACATTCTACGACACATACACACAGTGGCCTAGCTTTACACATTAGCAACATTAACAATTATGTTTGCAGGATATTATGAGCTCGTTTCATTTCATGGATTCTCTTCAACTGCGTAATCCTAAATAAATAAGTTACGAAATGGTGTCTGAACACACTTTACACAATGACTTCGAATTATAGATAGAAAGTATAGGCAAAATAATCCCGAAAATGATCTAAGCAGGTAGATTTTTTGTTGTTAAAAGAGCAAGTATATACAGAATAATTAGACTGAAGGAGGGAATTTCAAGCTTTCATATGGAAATAAGAATTGACTAGAGACAAAACACAAGATAGAACAACACAGTGAATTTATATATATATATATATATATATATATATATATATATATATTATGATAGTGAGTTCAGGAGGGTTTGGGTGATTAATTAAATAAAATTATAACATAGGACAAAACAATCAAGTGGATTAGATAACTTGATAGTGAGTTCAACTCAGTCACTGTGTGAGTGAGTGAAAATCAAAATCAAGATTACGCAAAACAGAAGAAAACAATTACGGTTACCATAGTGAGAGTAGTGACAGATGAGTCATCTTTTTGCATACCAGTGGTTGGATTGAAGTCTTTTGATGAATTTAGTAAGGAATTATGCTAAACGAAATGACCGTACTTTTCTTTGTGTATTGATTATTTTGAAAGCCAGTCTAATGGTTAAACAATATAATATTCAAGTATTTGTTTGGTAGGGATTTTTTTGTTTAATTGTATGGAGGATTTCATCATGAGCTGACATCAGTTAGAGAACCACTGGAAAACCTGCCAGGGAGTACCAGACAGCTGTTTCGTCCTAGTTTGGGACTCTTCAGCAGTACGCGCCCACCGGGATTCGAACCCAGGACCTTCTGGTTACAAGGCGAGCTCGTAGACCATTGAGCCACTGGGACCCGATCCAATGGTCCTTGAATTCTAACTTCTGCCAATTCACGACATAGCGCGACCATTTCGCAATGTCTTCTTAGATGAGTTACTGTCACATCTTCAACCTGCTGTACCCATTGGATCGGGTCCCAGTGGCTCAATGGTCTACGAGCTCGCCTTGTAACCAGAAGGTCCCGGGTTCGAACCCTGACGGTGGGTGCATACTGATGAACAGTCCCGAACTAGACCAGGGAAACAGCTGTCCAGTACTCCATTACTGGTTTTCCGCTGGTTCTCTAACTGATGTCAGCTCATGATGAAATCCTCCATACAATATAATATTCGTCAATATAAGTGTATTTTGGGGTTGATGATAATTAACCAGGAAAATGCAATAACACTAAAGAATAGAAATACTTACAAACAATCAAACATGAAGTAAGAAGACTGATAGGACAGTTAGTTAGTTAGTTAGGAAATTAATATCCCTTATAAAAGGGCTTAGAGGGGTTGGGAGTGGTAGGGGAGAGAGGAGGTAGAGGAAATTATCATTACACATACATGTTATTGATGGTGGTCATAGTAAGGGAAGGTAAGTAGCTGTACAATTTTCTTTTGAACGAATAAGTTTGCCTTCTTCAAATGGATTTTTATGTCCACAACTCTATGTAATGAAAGAATTTGTAAAGCAAAATTAACAATTATTCGAAGTGTCACATAGATATAACGTCACCAAGCACGGAACCATGTCAGTTAGGTTTTCTCCTCACTAAATTAGAGAATGGAATGTTGAAAGGGGTGGTGGTTGGTTGGTTGGTTAATAAATTATTTGGAATTCTCTTGCCAATACATCGAAGACACATTTGGGATTATGCGAATATTGAGAATGAATGAGACGAGTGGAGTGTGGCAATTCGAAACTTCTGGACATCTGCACAAAGTTCTACGTTAAAATAAGTCATTGACTATTAGCAGTAATGTTTTATAATCTTGAAAATAATACATGCAAAGCGCAGTACCACCACGAAAATGTTGTGAGACTCCGAAGTCTTTTAGTAACTTTCTATGTGGAATAAAATGTTGCATTTGGTGCTATTTTTTCTATCCATCATTTTCTTTGTGAGAATTCTACCCTCATGATACTAACAATTTCAGCATGGTGAAAGCATCTGAAGGCAAGAAGCGTAGGTACATCCTTTATTTGTTATATTATGAAGGTATTTCGAAACAACATCTCCATCTGTGACCACGTGTGTGAATAAACATATCGGCTTTTAAGTGTTAATGTCTATGGAGGGTAGTGACGCTCCATTAAGAACTCACAAAGTTTAGGATTCATAGGTTATCGGACCCCAACCTTGGTGATTGTAAATGATCAACAAAACCACCTAGTAATCTGAAAATTGTAGACCTCTTCCATGGTTGGAGTCCTTTTATATGTACTGCTGTCAAGGGTCTGAAACCAAGACGAAACAGTTGTCCACTTCTCCACGTCCATAGAGAAGACGGAGGTGATGAAAGTTTCTAATAAACAGCAATAACAAGCACCGATCACTATCAACGAGAGGAATTTGAAAGTCGTCACTTCCACTTATCTACGAAGTATCATTTCAACTACAGGTAGTTGGCACGGATGAGAATATCGAAACCAAAATCAGGAAAGGCAAGCTAGAGAGAGACCTTCATTAGTCTAGATTCAGTTTAGAAATCTTCTACGCTCCACCTCAGCTTAAACAACAAAATTGGGACTTTCAACATCAGGGTGAAGTCAGTCAGACAGTCAGTTCTTCTGTATGGGTCAGAAACTTTCACTGAGCGTCACGAAAAGCGTGCGTTTGCAACAGGCCATTTCAGATATTTATCAACAGCTGCCTTCACTGATTCTGTATTGAAGATCAAATGCCTGGCTGGCCGGAAAGAATTAGCAACAAGAAACTCTGGCAATGAATGAACCAACAGACGGGAACCTATTGCTCAACAAATATTCCGAAGAAAGTGGAGATGGATTGGAAACACTCCACTAAGGAGATCGTCCAGTGACATTGCGAACCAGGCCATCACTGGAGTGGAACGCGAATGGGGAGGAGGAGAGGAGTGACTGTGGGCAGTCGCAAAAAAATAGAAAGAAGAGAAGATGTGTTGTTCCATTTGGGACCCAAGAGATAATAATAATAACGTCCACCTCACTCTATGATTAATTTTAAACACATTCGACTATCTGCAGAATGGTTGCTAAACAAAGTATCAAAAATGACAGTCTCAAGTTTCACATTCACTGCTTTCATTTCCTTATCGAACTGTGATAGTTAAGATTATTTCTTGTAAGCTAAATCTTTTATAACACATACAAACTGCAGTTATTACGACACGCATAGATCCGGTTTCTTCAATCTGATTGCGCAGGCTTCAGCAAAACCAAGAGCTTCTCTTTATTACCTTGCTTATTACTAACGGTAAGACTTTCACTGTATGATCACAGTCCAGCCTTGTTCTGCCACGTCAATTTTAAATCGAATAAATGAAGTTCAGAATAGGATAGCACTTATATCTGTAGAAGAGGAAAATAGTTGTATATCTTTCCTAGACATATTGCTTACTCGATTGCTTGATGGGTCACTAAAAAGATCTATTTATAGACAACCTACCTGGACAGGACAGTATCTTAATTACCAAAGTTTCTGCCATGTTCGGTACAAAAGAGCCTTAGGGAGTGAGGTGCCTCTTCAGTAGAATCCAACAAATATGCACTGAAGATAGACACACTTGATGAAGAAGAAGAAAGAAAGTTGACACAAACTCTGGTTGATAACAATTATCCAGACAAGTTCATCAGGAGATATAAGGTAGTCAGAACACCAGGACGCAATCTACAACTCGCCCCTAAGAAAGACGTGTACATCAAGCTGTCCTATCATAGCAGATTTTCAAATACACAGAGATTGAACGCTGCTGTTAAACAGACTTTTTATGCAGCTAATATCATATTAATCGAGAATGTGAAGCTGATATATCCATCCACCAAAGCCGTTTTTGAATATGCGAAAAATGATGTCACATCCCACTCTATATACCAATTTGAATGTACGTGTGGTCACACGTGCATGGGGAGGACTCATCAATCTCTGTAATTAAGGTTTGGCCTCAGAACATATACCTAAATGGCTTCAGAAGCTAATAGATTCTTCAGAACCCATTAATGGTGAGGACAGGAGACCTAGCTCCTCTATTACGAAACATATTATAGAGACAGGACATAAAATTGACGTTAACACATTTTTTAAACCTACCTATAGAACGTGTTTGGAGGATGACATATCCTAAAGTTTGTGGAAGCCCTAGCAGTTAGAAAGTTTAAACCACTTTTATGCGTTCAAAAAGAATTCCTCATCACACTCAACCACCTTTCTTGGTAAACTTTGTTTTGATACCAGTCGGGAAAGATGTACTATTACCTCTGTTATTCGGTTTAGTGGTCTTCATTGTTATTTTGACCTTCAATATGTTATTTTAACTTGATTCCACCACCAAATTTATGAATTCACTCAGTGCTGCCGCTTTTTGTTCAAAGTTGATGATTTTTTTTCTAAATTTCCTACGAGAAAGAAATGTTTACAATCTTATGCGTTGTTTGTTGTTTTATGCAAGTTTTAATTGAGCATTGCATAACTGCAGTCATTATCGGTCTGTTGTGTTTTTACTCCACTCCTTTTCGTCCTATTGTTACACACAGTAGTCAGACACACAGTAAATGATACTTTTCACTTTAGTGATGATCAACCTTTTTTTCTTGTTTTAACAATAATTCTAATAGATCATCTACATTTTTTGTTCATTGTTTGTTGACAGTATAAATTTCCCGGTGTTATACATTGTATGAATATGTCTTCGTCTTGATAACAATAACAACAGCAACCGCGGATTACAATGGTTGCCTTGTTCCCGGTATCCTGATATGCTGTTATCTTTTTCAGCTGGAAATGTTATATTTTTCAGGTAAATTGTGAATTAGTTTGCATCTTTTTTTTCTCTACTGTGTTGGTTATTTTTTTGTGGGGATTTGATTCGTTCGCTTCAGTTCCGCTTTGACAATGAATTCATATCTGTAGAGAAGCATTGAAAACCAACACTCGAGTATTGGACAGCTAGCTGTTTCGTCAGTCTGGTCTAGGACTCTTCAACAGTACACACGCACCGGGGTTCGAACGCACAACCTTCCTGTTACAGGGTGGGTTCGATCCCTGGTGCGTGAGTACTGTTGAAGAGTCCTAGGCTAGGACGAAACAACTGCCCAGTACTCCCAGGTTTTCCACTGGTTCTCTAATCGATGTTAGCGCATGATGATGATGATGAAATGCTCTAATTCATTTTCAAGAGTTAGTTTTGTAGGAATTTGATTTGTTTAATGTAAATTTAAGAAATTTCTATCACTCTTCCTCCATCTTGTGTACTTTCACTTATCTGTTGCACATCTTACGTGTGTATATACCAGGCTAAAACAGGTGTTGTGTATTCTAACACCTGTGCTGACTAGACGGAATTTCAGTGTTAAGAAGCACGAAATCTATGTCAAGTAGTGTTTTCTGCCGACTGCCTCCAACCATCTAATATCAACAATTCTGGGTTCACAGTAGGTCGGTCGGTCGGTTTTCGACATAGAACCTTGCACATATATGCGCCAGTTCTAGTCACCACACTCCCTCCTTGTAGCACACAAAGCAAGAAAAGAAAGTAGAAGAAATGCATTATATAGACAGTAAACAGAGTTGTGAGACAAAGGAATAGTAATAACGGGGAACAAAACAGTTTAATTGGAAATCATAAGTCACAAGGTATGGATGCATCTGCGCCACTGAGAACGATTTTGAGCCATGTCACCAATTGTTTCCAACCATTGGTTTTTACCGTCCCGAGGACCCCAACCAGGAAGTCTACATCTTCCTACATCACTGGCTTAAACTAACTGTTGTGGGATTTCATTGACTGGTGCCATGTTTTGGTTTGACCGCTACTAGCTCTTTTCCAGCCTGGCCCTATATCAGCTAACATTGCCCATTGTCGAGGAAGGCGATAAGTAGGCATACGTAACACATGTCCTAACCATCTCAGTCGATGTAATTTCACCGTTTCGTCGATTGATTTCCCCTCCTTACCTAGCACTCGACGCCTAACCTCAATATTGCTCACCTTATCATACCACTTCTCGCGGGAGATAGAACGCAGACACCTATGATCAAAGACAGATAAACTTTTCATGTCTTCTGCTCTCAATGGCCATGTCTCACAGCCATAAAGGAGGACGGAGAGGACTGTTCTAAGGAGCTGATCGCTGACGAAATCTCACTACAGATACAAAAGTCGTGTGCGGTATTTGCCAACCTGCATGATATTTGTCTGGCTTAGACGTGATTTCCGGCTATTGGCCAAGGGACGTGTATATTGCTCAGCACTAAATTCCATCCTCCCTCGTGGCCACTGGATGTGGAAGACATGAAAAGGCCTGGCTAGCTGTCTTTGACCACAGGTGTCCGTGTTCGATCTCCCGTGTGTGTTAGGTGGCGTGATAGGGTGAGTAATATTGAGATTAGGCGTCGAGTACCAGATAAGGAGGGAAGATTAATGGACGAGGTTGTGAAGTTATATGGATTGAGAGAGATGGTTATGATAAATGTTATGCATACCTAGCCTAGCTATCGCCTTCATCGTCGATCATTGTTAAATGACATAAAATGGATCAGGATGGTGTAGTGTTTATGAGTTAATCAAACATTCACCGATCAAGTGAGAATACTGAGGGCCCGCAATAAAGGCTTTATTCGTTTTATAATTCCAGTATAGAATCTGGTTTAAATAAAAATGAAAGATGTGAATAGTGTATAATATAAATGCTAAACGTTTATGAAAATGTTCACACCACATTCTTCTCCCCTTTTGTTTGAGAATACAGAGCATAAGGAGTCAAGACTTTTAAAACTGTTTAGACTTCGCGGCTTCTCAGATTGTATGGACGAACCCTTCGTTGTTTCTCTAGTAAAGAAGATGGGTTCGGATCAATTTTGACATTTTCACTTAAATTGTCCGTCAAAATAGGAGTTTCAGTATCTGTAGAACGGGTGAATATGTCGTCTTCAGTAAGTTGATTTTGGAGGCATTCTGGTACTGCGTCTGGAATCGGCATGCTAACGGGCGATTGAAATATATGTTCTTTTGGTGCAAGATGATGAATAGATACTGTTTCCTCACGTCCATCTGGAAGTCTCACATGAGCATACTTGGGATTACATTCAATCAGTTCAACTTCATCAACTGGAGATTCATATTTAGAACGTACATTACGGCGCATCAAGACCGGTCCAGGAATAGTTAACCAACTAGGAAGAGAAACACCAGACGTTGATTTTCGATTGTACCTGAACATCCGTTCGTGTGGAGTAGTATTTGTGGCAGTACATAAAAGAGAACGGATAGAATGAAGAGCGTCGGGGAGAACAACCTCCCACTCACAGATTGGTATGGACCTAGATTTAGCAGCTAGTGATATACATCGCCAGAGAGTGCCGTTGAGACGTTCAATCTGTCCATTTGATTGGGGGTTGTATGCTGTTGTTCTACTGGTAACTATTCCTTTATCGTGGAGAAAATGTTTTAATTCTGCAGACATAAACGACGACCCTCTGTCTGAATGTATGTAGGATGGCATACCAAACAGGGAAAACAACTGGCACAGGCAATTAATAACAGTTGATGCTGTCATATCCTGGCAAGGAAAAGCGAACGGAAATCTAGAGTACTCATCAATTATCGTAAGAAGATATTTGTTCCGGGAGTTTGAAGGAAGAGGTCCTTTGAAATCAATATTTAGACGTTCAAAAGGAGAAGTCGCTTTAATAAGATTTCCTGTAGATACTTTGCAAAACCTGGGTTTCAGCTCAGCACAAACTGCACAACTAGATATCGTCCTCTTCACATCATCAACAGAAAAAGGTAGGTTCTTAGAACGCACAAAGTGAAGAAGGCGAACAACTCCTGGATGGCACAGAGAGTTATGTAGGTCTTTCAGATTAGTTTCACCCATGACAGAAGCAGAATATCCGCGAGATAATGCATCGGCGACTTTGTTTTCTTTGCCACAACGGTAGATTATATCAAAACTGTAACAAGAAAGTTCTATTCGCCAACGCTGAATCTTGTCATTCTTTATTTTCCCATGGTGGTTCATATCGTACATGAAAGAAACTGATCGTTGGTCTGTAATGAGTTGGAAATGAGTACCAAGTAAATAATGACGCCATTTTCTAATAGCTTCGACGATGGCATAAGCTTCTTTCTCCACCGCTGAGTGATGCCGTTCACTTGGTGATAGTGTTCTGGAAAAAAATGCAACGGGTCTACCATTTTGTGTTAACGTAGCAGCTATAGCAGTATCCGAAGCGTCGGTTTCCACTATAAGGGGCAACTCGAGATCCACAGTAGTCATCACAGATTGAGCAAGTTCATTTTTTAATGCTGCATATGAGCTTACAATAGTACCTGGTAATGGAAAGATTTTATTTTGTATAAGGGGTTGAATTTTATCGGAGAAATGAGATATCCATTGTGAATAATACGCAAAGAGACCAATGACTCGCTGTTGGGATTTAAGATCTCGTGGAGGTGATAAATTCCATAATGCTTGAAGTCTATCGGGATCAGGTTTGATCATTTTATGAGAAACTTCATAGCCTAGAAGTTTTACTTGTTTAACGCCAATAACACTTTTATTCTCATTGAATGTTAGCCCATATTTTCTGGATGCTTCATAGAACCGGGCAAGATTTTTTGCATGTTGTTCTGTGTTTTCACCACAAATAGTTATATTATCTAAATAAGCAAATGTAGCTTGAAGATTTTCATTTCTGATAATCTGACTGATAACTCTCTGAAAACACGAAACACCGTTTGTGACACCAAAGGGAATACGACGGAACTGATAGAGGTTGCCGCAAGCTTCAAAAGCTGTGAAGAGTTTCTCTTCTTCTTTGATGGGTATTTGATGATAAGCACTCTTTAAATCCAAAGTGCTAAATACAGTATATTTTGAAATCTTTTCAATCATCTCATCAATTTTTGGGAGTGGATAGGCATCCAATAATGTGAAACGATTTATCGTTTGGCTGTAATCAATCACCATTCTACGCTTGTGGCGTTTATTAGTAGTGACCAAAACTTGGGCGCGCCAAGGGGAGTTAGATGGCTCGATGATCTGCTCACTGAGTAAATTTTTGATTTCCAGCTTGATGAAATGTTCATCTGAAGTGGAATGTCTTCGTGATTTTGTAGCGATCGGAACACATTTGGGTGTTAGGTTATGAAACAAGGGAGGTGGATCAATATGTGCAGCAACAAGATTACACAGTGAAAATGGATTGTTTTTACCTTCAAATGGAATTTCGAGTTTATTATGCAATCGTAAAAAATCATGACCTAATAGCACATCAGCACACAGATTTGGCAACACTGAAAGTTTGATATGTGAGTAACTCGAGTCTTTATAACGTAGATTTACATAACAGTGACCATGAGTATGAGTTGTCAGACTTGTGGAAGCCATTGTGATTGAAGTGCGAGAATGCTCTACCTTTATATGTTGTTTTTGAACGACTGCACAAGAAATATAACTGTCTGAGCTCCCAGTATCTACGAGGGCTTGTAGGGGAATGTCATTTACAAAAAGCTGCACAACCGCATTGGAGAGAGACTGTGGAGCGGCGGCTAGAGTCATGGAAGACAACAAAGAACTAGTAACTGATGTAGTTTTGGTGTATGATTTTGACCGGCAGACCTTCTGATAATGCCCCTTCTTACCACAGAGTTTGCATACTGCATCCCTTGCAGGACATTTAGAGCGAGGATGTCTAGTAAATCCACAGAAGTAGCATTTCTCATTTATTGAAGCAGTCAATCCTGTTTCACCCACATAAGAGTTTAGTTCATTTGATGTATCACTGTTTGATATTGCAGCAGAATTGGAGAATTCGGAAGGATGAAACGAATGTGATTGTTGATAAGCCATTTCTAGGGATCGAGCTTGTTCATAAGCAGTATCAAGATCAAGTAATTTGTTTTCCAGAAGACGTTGTCGTATATTATTAGATTGCATTCCACTTATGAATGCGTCACGTATTGCATCATTCTGATTTTGTTCAGCCGAGACAGGTTTGAATGAACAATCTTTTGCCAGAGATTTCAGTTTTTGTAAAAATTGGTCGAGGCTCTGTCCAGTTTCTTGTTTGCGTGTGCATAATAGATGTCGAGCAAAAATCTCGTTCTTTGGTTTGACATACAGTTTCTCAAGAGTACTAAGAGCGCCGTCAAATGTTTTACATTCAGCAATGTATTCATATACAGTAGGTGAGATATAGTTGATGAGAACATCAAGTTTGTCTGAATCTGGAGTTGAAGATTTAGTGATAAAAGTATTGAATGTACGAAACCAATGATTCCAAATCTTCGAAGATGTTTGGCAATTGGAATCAGCATCAAAGCGTTCGGGACGTAATATCTTGTCCATAATAAAACGAATAAATTGTAGTGTTTATGAGTTAATCAAACATTCACCGATCAAGTGAGAATACTGAGGGCCCGCAATAAAGGCTTTATTCGTTTTATAATTCCAGTATAGAATCTGGTTTAAATAAAAATGAAAGATGTGAATAGTGTATAATATAAATGCTAAACGTTTATGAAAATGTTCACACCACAGATGGGAATAAGCTGAGGGTGGTGGTCAAACGAAGACATGACTTCATTAGTCAATCAAATCCGTAACAGTTAGTTTAAGCAGCCAGCCAGCCATGTGGGGAGGTGTAGACTTCCAGACTGGTTGGGGCCGTTGCGATGGTAAGAATCAATGGCTGGAGACAACTGTTGATTTGGCTCTATTGTCCTTCCATATTACTGTTCTCTATCTCTCACATTTGTGTTTATCATCTGTCTTTCGAATCTCCTCTTTTCTCTTGCTCTACGAGTGCTACATGGAGGAAGAGTGACAGTTGGAACTGGTGCACATCCGTGTAAAGTTCTATATGTTGAAACCAGTCAGTTATTTGCTTATCCATAAGATAGAGTGATTCACATTATATTATAAATGCCATTTGTCGTTATTGGTACTGTTTTTTAGAACTCAGGTACACAAAAGATTTGACTTCAAATAACTGATATATTCTTTTCTAAAACTTCCCTTTTCAGAGATATTGAAGAAGAGTCGAAAACTATTGAACCAGGTGACATTGAAAAATTGAATCAAAGTGAAATTTCTCGGTAAGTGTGTGCTCAATTCTCCCCATCGGTAAAATTTCAATGACAATAATAATTACGCAAAATTATGTACTGTTGTAATTTCATAAGTAGTTGTGCTGGTGTGTTTTCACCTTGCTTACCTTCTAAGTGAAGCATAGGGCTTCAGCAGTACATCTCCATTACACTTGGTTCCCCACGCCCCTCCCATCACTTTCATCAAATAACTGCCCGTCCACAAACCCTCCTTACTTCGTCTTCTTAACATCATTTCCATTGGAGTTCAATCCGAAAGAGTGATGTCCTTTGAATGTCTGGTTCCCCCCCCCATATTGTGTGTCCGTTCCATCTCCACTTCCCTTTGCATATTTGTTGGCTGAGTAAGTGAGTCATAGGTTCTTGCGTAGTATTGATTCTCTGGCTGGCTGGTTAACTCGTAGTCAGAATTCCTTGTTGTGTCTATCATTTCTTCCAGACTATCGAATATTCTTCAGTATATGGGATGAATTAGGTAGGTGTTAATGAACTTTTATGCCCTGGAGAGAGTTGTAAACCCCAATCTTCGTCGGTCAAACTAAAGCCACGACATCAGAGGTGGCTCCTATAGGTGTCTATCACTCTTGTCTTTACTATACGCGTTTTCAGACTTCATCCATCATTATATCTGCAAAAGTATTCTGTACCAAAAGTGAGATAGCTAATTATCCATACTTGACAGACGACAGCTAGTTTATGATGGATTTATTTTGATTGATTACCAAAACGTCAGTGGACAAACAAAAAGCTCAAAACTCTAAAAGACTTCACATAGATGTCGAACAAGTTGGCAGAAGAAGCATCAAAGATAGAACTTCAGGTGAACATAGAGAAAACAGAGGTGATAAAGATTCCTGGGCAACAACAATCAGCATAAATGGGAGGGACCTGAGAGAAACAACCTCCTTCACGTACCTGAGAAGCATCGTTTCAACTACAGGTGGACGGAACTGATGAGGATATCAAAGCAAGGATCGAGAAGGCAAGACTTTTACTACTCTCAAGTCTGTGTGGAGGTCAACACTCAGCATGAAAATGAAAATAAGATCCGGATTTTCAACTCCAATGTGAAGTCAGTGCTGCTTTATGGATCAGAGACTTGGCGCGTCATGAAGAGCACCTCAAACAAACTACAGACCTTCATTAACAGTTGTCTTCGCTCAATACTCAAGATCAGATGGCCGGCCAGAAAAGATCAGCGACAGGGACCTCTGGGAGCAAACCAACCCAGCAGGATCCGATTGTGCAACAAATAAGCAGGAAGAAATGGAGGTGGATTGTGGTCATACTCTGAGAAAACAAACCATCGAGTGACATTACACGCCAGACCATCGCTCGAGTAGAATCCGAATAGGAAACGGCGAGTTGTTTGTCAGTGCGAGGGTGACATGGAGGAGGTCATGTGAAGAGGAGATGAAAGCATGTATTTAGATGTGGAGCCAGGTGAAAAAGTTGGCAGAGAACCGGACGCAATAGAGACGTGCAACTGAAGCCCTATGTTCGTCTAGGAATTGAAGGAAATAACGATAATAATAGATGTTGAACATCAACTTACTGTATCACTGACTTAAATATTTGGATTAAATAAGTTGCCGAGAACACACTGGGATTTTCCTTGTTGTTGTAAGGAATAAACTGTGGTCAACTTAAGGTTATAACGATTCAGAAGTGCGTGCACACCAGTGACCTTGAACGCATTCTATTCGTTGGATGATAACTGGACCTCTGATTTCATCGCGATCTCGTTGTTGAGTACTGTTTAGACAATGTGTTGATAGCTGTTTAGAGTTACGTCAAAGGTCAGGGTTGGTATCATGCCTAGAATTAGGCGAGCTAGTAGACTAGCCGAGGTCGGGAATCACGGATAGAGTACTTTATTTTTATTATCTGCATTCTTCTAGTAAATAATTGTCAACCGCCTTACCGGAACCCCCACCCCCACCATACTAACAAATTCAATCGAGGGTTTTGGAGAAGACTACTATAAAGCAGAATAAGAGTAATAAATAAAGTGGGCCACAAAAAGAACTCATCTTCCGTCACCTTCATGAAAAGGTCGGTCAGTCGTGCGTGTTTGCATTCCCATGGATCGCTGTAGTTGAATTTTGCCCAAAATTAGTAGTATTAGTATGATTGTTATGTGTTGTTACCTATATATAATGCTTGGATTACAGAATGAGTTATTTTATTATTAGTGTAACAACAGAAGACAAGGGCCAGGCAACAGATCGTTTATTAAGGAAAATCAACACATATTCATAGCTTTTCATGTACATTATTATAGATAATTGTTAGCAGACAAACACAGTCTTCTGATTGGTGGTTGTTTCTCACTGAACGTGAATCTTTCATCTCTTTGTGGCTGTTTCTTGAATGTCAGATCATCTATGTGCTAACTGTATTCGCCTACGCAAAGTCTGCTGTGGTTGGTTGTTGAATCAGTCTTTGTTCTTATTTTTCTCATGACCGATATTAAGGACGTAAACATCTACCGATTTGGCTAGCAGCCAGCTCTCACCACAGTAGTAGTGCATTTACTTATTGAGAAATTATTTATCATAATCGTTGAAGTTGGCTTTTATTATTATTATTATTATTATTATTATTATTATTATTATTATTAAAAGAACAAACAGTTGAGTTAGTGCAGAGTCTCTTTTCACCGGCGAATTCATTCACTTGGCTGTACAATCGCAATTATACATATATATTTATAATTATTACTATATATAAGTGTATACATTACGTTTGTCAGATAAAAATAAAATTTATTTAGAGTTATTGTTCACGTCATCAAAATATTTCGAAAAAAAATTTGTAATGAGTAATCAAATTGCAATTGTCGGAGGGGGCGGGTGAAGATTAGTAAATCATCACCAGGGTCACGTGATGTGAAAAATTACCCAGAAGCATAGAATGGAGACGAGTGTCTAAAATATAAATTATGTGACGGGTGAAAAAGAGTTAGTAGAGGGTTAGTTAAGAAATGACATTATTAAAATGTGATACACAGTAGCTAAATTGGTTATAGGATTTCATCATGAGCTGACATTGTTTAGAGAACCATTGGTACCAATACTTGAATATCAATGAGATGCTCACTGGCGACTGGCCCTGGGGTTCTAGTGGGAAATCGTGACCAGTAGAGTGCAGCAGGTTGGGTTTGAGGACAAATACTCGTCGAAGACATTGGCTAGCGGTCGCGCTATATCGTGAATTGGCAGAAGTTGGAATTCATGGACTGGCCATTGGATTGGTTCTCAGTGGCTCGCCTTGTAACCAGAAGGTCCTGGGTTCGAACCCTGGCGGTAGGTGCGTACTGCTGAACAGTCCCGAACTAGAAAGAAACAGCTGTCCAGTACTCCATTACTGGTTTTCCAATGGTTCTCTAGCTGATGTCAGCTCATGATGAAATCCTTTAACCAATCAACCAAATCCCTACAAACCAGTACTTGAAAAGTATTTGAACTTGGAATTATATCCAAGGCAGAAAGAAGAAGAGGATAGGAAAGTCTTCTGTGTACATTGTTTTTATTTCTCTACGTTCCCAGTGGGACACAGAGCTACAAGCTAGAGGGGCTTGAAGTTTCTCTGGCAGTGATGTTTATTTTTACAGGATGGAGTTGCTAACCTCATGCCCAATCTTCCCTCTCTTTACCAGTCTCATTACTGGCTTGGCAAGGTAAGGGAGTGCATCGGCAGGGGATCGAACCCCGGACCACATGAGGCATGGTCGGCGAGCGTTATACCGTTGTGCCACCGACGCACGTAGATTAGGGTTTTCCATCTGAATCACTTAGGCCTCGGCAAGCCGTTCATATACTAATCTTTTCCATCACTCATCTTTGTGCGTCCAGAAAAGAAGATTACCTGTCAGGTTTCTACTTCAACTGTAAATTTGATAGTTGGTGGAGAGCAAATATTATAAACTCTTGAAGGTCACATTTATTATCACAAATGATAAAACTGTCATAAATGTACACCCTTTTTACAAACAAAAAAAAAGCTCTCGACGGTCTACTTCAGTGGACTATTTTCCAAACTTACCATGATAATAATATCTACACAACTGCCGAACATAAAAAGATGAACCCATAGCCACATCACTGTGTGTGTGTGTAAACTGGACATTGAAAATAATGCATCTAAGCAGAAGTTTATAAAATTATATTTGTAAAATCTCAGCGAAATTGAAATGATTAATTCCAACGTTTCGTTCGGCAATCTGGTCCGAAACTTCTTCAGGGAAATTAATCGACTTAACATAACAGAGGTTTATATATAAAAGGAACAACTCAAGTTTTTAAACTTTGTCCAGTCGTGAGTAATGCAACAGTCATCAACATGTATAATAAATAAATAAAATGGTATGTTTATATATAAATAAAAGTACATCTCTTGTTTTAAATTGTTTGTCCTGTCATATGAATCAAGAAACAGCTATCAATAGGTATAATAAAACAAAACAAAAATTTTCTTTATATGAACTGTGATCAAAATTTGACCTCAGACTTTCAAAATTAGTCTACTTTTATTAAAATATATGTGTATATGTGTATATGCAGTATCAATGGTGTGTGTGTATGTGTGTGGGTGAACAGTCATAAAACATTTGTTATTCTCATAGGAGCTGTGATCAAGATTTGACCGGATGGTTACAAAATAATTGAGATTTTTTACAAATATAATATAATTTTATAAATTTGTAATTCTCTCCATAAGAAGACGTAGACAATCGGGAATTTCGACCAAGTATGACTAATTGTTGGTACATAACCAATTTTTATTTATTGGTCAGGATTTGCCATGTACTTATCCATGCCTGTACAACTGGTGTGTCCTACATTGATAGGAAATATATATTATTATATTATATCACACCTTCACGTCTGTTCAAATTGTTGGGGTTCACCATATATGGAGGGCTTCTGCAGTCAGTCTTTGTTTATATGAACCGAAACCTTTCTGTAAGACCTTAGTCCTATCAAAGTCGATTTTGTGTCCCGTTTCTATCGAGTGCAGTGCAATCGCTGAGTTGTTTTCTAGCTTCTTCAAGGCTGCAGAGGTCTTTGGAACCACCTTTAGACATTGTTTATGCTCTTTCACTCTTATATTTACCTGTCTGAAAGTTTCTGCTACATATACGGCGTTACAGTCCCCACAGTTGATCTGGTATGCACAATTCTGCTGGTTTTTCTGTTGTATTTTATCCTTAACCTTAACCAGTAATGAGCGTAAGGTGTTTTATGCACGAAAATACACTTATGTGATGATCGTTCAGGATCCGCTTTATTTCATCGGATAGTTTGCACAGGAAATAAATTGTCTCCGTAGTCGGGACATTTGTGAAGAAAGAGAGGGAGAGAGAGACACTCGAGACATCGAATAATAATAATAATAATCACATGTAAATGGAATTTTTTTAATTCGTGTGTTTGTTTTTGTTTTAAAATCCACTTAGATTGAATACTTTAATATCCCCTTGGCATTCACAAGGCGTTCTACCGCCTCCAATTGTTTGGGATAGTCAATTTGCTACTTGGTCTGCAGATCCAGCCGGCTTATCATCATCGTCATCAGCAGCAGGAGCAGGAGCATCGTGTCAAGGAAATTCATTATCCAATAATAATAATAATAGTGTTACTGTTCCCGGTTCCATTGTTGGCACTGTTGGCGGTGCTGATACGTTAAATCAATATGGATACTATGGACCTTATTTACCACAATCACACGAGTCCACATCTACAGCATCAACATCATATCCATTTTCATCAACGTATAAAAGTAGAGAACAACCATTACGTATTTATACAGCTGAAGATATCCCATCACCGGTTTCTTCTTCTAATAATACTACACATCATAAAATAACAGGGGATAATAAACATGCTTCAACTGGACCATCGTCACCCAAGTGTACAAGAAGTCGAGATTCTAGAACTCCTTAGTTTCATTCATCATGTTCGAGTGTGTGTGTGTTGGTTGCTTGTTTGTTTGCTTGCCGCTTGCTCGCTTACATACTTACTTGCCTGCCTGCCTGGTTGCTTGGTTGCCTGTACACTTTCATCATTGTCTAACGTCTTTCTTCTTGTGTTTATTGGTTCTTTCTTTTTTTTATAGGGAATTGTAATTTTTTCACTCATTGGTGGTGATTGTGGTGGGGTGGCACATACAGTTGGACTCTGACTGATTGGCTGACTGACATTTACTCACATATATTTATCGTTTGTTATTTTGGTGCATACCTTTATCTCATCATTTATCTCTTTCTGATTGATTTATCGATTGATTGGTAGTTGCCAATTGGGTGGGTACTACTATAAATAATGAATATATATATATATATTTCCCTGTATCATCACAGAAATTGTACAGACTTATACAAACACGACAAGATTTTGCCTTCCAGTCGTAAATTCTTTCACCCCTCCGCCACCGCCGCTGCAACCACCACCACCCCCACTATCGTTTGATATTTTGTAATTTGTGTGTGTGTGTGCGCGCGCGCGTCTCACTCTGTCTTATACACGCACTGCTTGACACGCACACACACACACGCATCATTTTCCGGTTAAAAAAGAGGAGGAGGAAGAGGGTATTTGAGATTAGAAGAGAAGAAGTAACTTACTTCCCTCCTCCTCCTTCCTGTTTTTTTATGTTTATTGATTCTTCTTCGCTTATTCTTCTGTTCTCTATTGATTTTTGTCTTCAAATTGTTTGTTTGTTTTTTCGACAGAGTTGTGGGTGTGTTGTGGTGTGTGTGTATTTCTTCTCTGTAGATGATAGAAGCAGGGAGAGAGAGAGAGAGAGAAATATCAAATTGATCACAACCATCTACGGACATTACAAAAATATGAGTGTGAGTGTATAAGTTGAGATCTAATCTGTTCTGATTGATGATGATCTCCTTTTCCACACTCTGTATTCCTGAGTCCTTCATCTTGTTGTTGCCACCGTTGTTGTTGTTTCTGAATAAATGATCGTTTAAAAGTGAGGTGTTTTTTTGATTGCACATTAGTCAGTAACTAGTGTAATGCGTCTAGTCCTATCTTCGGTGCAGACTGAATTCTATCAGTCATGTTTGCAATGTGGCCACCATGCTAGGTGGCTCGCCATTACGGTGCACTGTGAATTGTTGGTACCAGATGGTTGGAGCAATCGGATAGCCTTGCTTGACCTAGGTTTCGTGCTAGTTGGCACTCCTCAGCAAGGCGCATCTGCAACCTTGAAGGAACTGATGTCCCTTCTGAGATTCGAACCCGCGTCACCCAGTGCTGCATTCAGAGACGTTACCACTGAGCTATTCAGGCTCGCGACTGACCTCCTGTAGGACTGTGTTGGATATTTTGATTGCACACTAGTCAGGAACGTCTAACTGCAGCATGGGTGACGTGGGTTTGAATCCCAGAAGGGACATCAGTTCCTTCAAGGTTGCAGATACGCCTTGCTGATGAGTGCCAACTAGCACGAAACCTAGGTCCAAGGCTTCCTGCCGATTGCCTCCAACCATCTAATACCAAAAGTGAGGTGTTTTGCGTGTTTGTGTGCGCATGTATCCGTATCCTCCGTCGATTTCAACTCTGAACGTGTTTTTTTTTGCGGCCTCTTAGGTAGTAGAATAATATTGATTTTAACGTGTCTGTTAAGATCAATGCGTTACCTACCACCACCTATCGTCCAAGGCAGATTATAACAGCGGCATGCGTCTATGCTCTGATCCCTTGTGTCTATTTCACTTAATGAATTGAGAGTCATTTCGGGTGTGTTTTTATTTCTGTGTGATTGCTGATTCGACTCACAGTGGCTAAATCTCATACATGTTCGCGCCACATAATAATTCATGCAAGATTCACTGTGAGATGGTAAAATGTCTCAAACTAGGTATCGAAAGGGTTATCTAGTTTCTATGATAGTGTCAGTCAGTAGCCAATAGGTGTCCGTCTTGAAACCTGCTCCAACTTTGGTAACTGTAGTTAGTGTCACACCGTTAATATACTTGGTAGTTTGCGCTAATGAATTTCCTACCCTAGTCAATTTGCGAGCCTACTGTTCTAATCACGGTTAGCAACAACGACAACAGCGATATGGTGCTATCATGCAAGAAGACAGACCATTGACGTGAAGAGCCTTTGCCGGCTCGAATCAATAGCCAAAATGTTTGATGGCAATTGCCTAACAATATATTAATATACTTTGAGTAACCTTGAGAGACACTAATTATATTGGTTAGTTAAAACAGTTGCAAATCAATAGGGTTCCAAGGTCATCAGTGTCTTCATCCCTTACAAATTAGTTGTGGTTTGCATCCTTCCATGTGAGAGGGGTCAGTTCTTGGCAATCAACTGTGACTGGGTTGTAGACTACACACGGAGTTATTCAAAAGCTTTCGATAGATATTGAAAGTATAAGTGAATATCTTCTGAGGAGGGATCACGATTAAATTTGCTTTTATCACCAAGAATAAACATCATTTGAGATTTGTAGTCACTTTCATTCATAATGACGACTCCAGAATCTTTATCAGGTTTCGTAATAATTATATTAGAATTTTCCCGTAGCTCTTTCAAGGCTTTGAAATGCTGGGAATTTAAAATACTTTTCTCCTTCGGGTTGTTGTTTAAAAACTGGTGATCTATACTCCACCATCTTGGCCTTAAACCAACCCCGATCTTCATCGGATGTTGCGGCAAGAGGTTTGAGTTGGTCATATAAGTTTTAGTGTTAGGCAAACGATACAAGGACTACTTGTTCTTCATACTGATGCGTTACTTATTTTATCTGAATTATCAATGATATCTCACATGAAATTTCTTCAGAAAACGAAGACGAATATACAAAATTAGTTGAAGAGTTCAGCTGATGATCGAAACCGCGTAGATGTCTTTCCGGTGAATCCTGATAAGTATATTACAAATCTTTTTGATATTACTCTATCTACTCATCAGAAAGAAGCTTCATCCCTTGGACTCAAATTTTGTGTTCCTCGCACGCAATTTACGGATTTAATCATCCACGCGGAGTTTGAAAACTTATATGACCAACTCAAACCTCTTGCCGCAACATCCGATGAAGATAGGGGTTGGTTTAAGGCCAAGATGATGGATATAGATCACCAGTTTTTAAACAATAACCCGAAGGAGAAAAGTATTTTAAATTCCCAGCATTTCAAAGCCTTGAAAGAGCTACGCGAAAATTCTAATATAATTATTACGAAACCTGCTAAAGGTTCTGGAGTCGTTATTATGAATAAAAGTGACTACAAATCTTAAATGATGTCTATTCTTGGTGATAGAAGAAAGTGTAATTATTTCTGAATGATATAAGTGTAGGAAAAATACTCGTGCAAACCGTTAGTGCTACTGATAAGATTGATCAGTAGTATATGAAGAGGCGTTCATCGGCTTAAAAGCATCGAATAGCAGGGAGATACATTTGATGCCAGAGAAAGCAAATGATACAGTGCTGCGGAGATCTATAGGAGACATGAAAGAAACACAATATGTAGGTAGGTCAGAAGTAGCACAACTGGACGGGACTGGTTTCAACATAGAACTTTGCACCGAGAAGAAAGTAAAAAGAAGTGCAAAATAGAGACAGTAAACAGAGATATAAGGCAAACGAAATAGTAATACCGAAGAACAATACGGAAGACCTGTGCAAATGGTGCGTTGAAGATAAGGTGTACATAATTTGGCTATAGAGAGATACTAAATTCGAAATAAACATTCCTTTACCAAGTCTTTCGTCTTCTACCGTTTCACTACTACTACTAACGTCATCTCACAAAATGAGGTAATATTGTGACATGTTCTATATACGGATGCAGATTGATAGGAAGCGGCCAGCATTTTAAGTCAGCGGCTGCAGAGATAACGGTGCTTATCGCTTAAGACTGGATTTAGTTCACGTTGTGGGCGAGAAATGATTTCATTGGATTTCGTGCTTTTGTTTAGCCTTCTGTCAGTTACCAACCAGTCAAGAACAGTTGATTGTCCTCTGAGTTAGCTGACTATTGCGTCTGTCACCACGTCTCTTATTTATGCTGTTACAATATTCTTTCTGTGTTGTGGCAGTGAGCTAGAGGTGCATCTTATTCAGATAAGTTAACTGCAAGAGGAGGTCTCCGGACTATATCCAGCTAGAGAGAACTCTGTAAAAAAGTGAATGGTATTCAAATATTTGAAATAGACACCGTGTGCACCATACGTGCGATTATATTCTAACGACAAAAGACAAGGGCCAGGCAACAGATCCTCTATTGAGAAAATCAGATTTTTATGTGCATTATTATTAGCGTTATTGTTAGCGGACAAGCAACCTCTTCTGATTGGTTGTTTTCTTAACAAAGGTTATTCTGTTATCTCTTTGTAACCGTTTCTTAGAAAATTAAGCCATATATCTGCGAATCATATTTGCACACGTTAAATCCTCTGTGATTGGTCGTTGTTGTCCTCAAGGTTAAGCTTTGTTATCGTTCTTCTCATGACTCGGATTCGGGACGTAGCATTGTAAACAACAATTTACGTCAATTTTGGTTTTTGAAGTTGCACCGCCTGCTTTGTCCGATGGGTACTGTGGAACTCCAATAAATAGGCCAAAAATACACTAACCAGTATGATTTCATCCAAATTAATCAATAATATACGTTTAACTTCTTTTGAACTTACTGCCCTCCATTAATCCATTCCATATTGTTCAGATGTCAGTATCAGGCGTCATTTTCTCATAGAAGTGCAGCAAATGTAACATGCAGTGTTGAAGAGAATAAATGCCACCTTATATTGTATACATGAGAAAAACCGTTTTTAGTGAAAATTATTACTTGTTATTAAATCACCATAGCAACGGACTACAAATACTCACATCTAGCGGGGAAACGCAATAAGGACACCCATTATATAATACGAACCAAATAGAACAGCCTGTAAATGGCATGTCAGCTTGTAAC